TAAACGAGCTTTTGAATGGATAATATTGTATAAAAAGATAATAAAAACAAGGAAGAGTTTTCGATCATAAGATTCGCGGAGGGTGGTCCTAAACCAGGAGATTCTCCAAGATAATGATCTCAGGATATGGCGTGATGTTAGACCGTGGGAGTTGCCGTGAAAATGACGTGGTTCCAACGTTGTGGGAACTGAATTATTATTAAACTCGCTGTTTTTTTTGCTAATTTATACATTTTATACACACGCTGATCATTTTATCGGTGACTTAATATGAATATATATGCTGAAATTATTTTACTAGCGCTATTTTAGAATATCATTTTTAATAAAACTTAATTATTATTCGGAAATCACTGCAAATTCAGTGGTTCCATAATGAATAACCCTTATTAAAAAAAACAAATTTGAATAAACGATTCAAAATGGCTCAAAGCGATTAAAAACGATTGAACTTGACTAATATATAGATATATATTTTGCATATAGGTTGAATTGTTTTAAATCTTTTTTTTCTGCGGATAAATAATGACACTGAAATCAGGAGACTTCTGAATATTTTTAAGAGCTATATAATAATTCAATTTATTAAAAAAAAAAAAAATATTTTTAAAAATTTTCACATGTGGAATTTTTTAATCAATTTTTTTTCATTATAATTCAATTTTTATAAAAAAATAAAAAAAATATCACTTAATTATTTATTATATTTTAATAGTATTGAGTTTTTTTATAATTTAATATTTCAACACGAACTACATTGCTGTTAAAACGAAAAAATACTCAACGTTAACATTTTCCGTCTAAAATAAAAAAATCCGCGAGTTATATCTATTAAAATCCTTATCTAAAATTTTTCTTACCCTAATGTCATCAATAATAAACGATAAGTATTTTTAATTCTAATTTTACAATTATTTAAATAATTATCTCATTTATTAGTACAATAAACGTCTGTAGAAAATTGTAATACATAAGTTCAACTGATTGATGATAAATATAAATATAAATATAAAAATAATAATTTAAATGCAATGGTCATAAAAATGCCATTAAACATTAATTATCATTTAACGATTGCGGAAAATATCCGTGCATTAATTATTCAATAATCATTAATTACAACAATTACTCGCCGTATGTATACATACACATCTAAGCAAATAAATATAAATAAACAATTAATTTAAATGAAAACAGTAATAAATTTTTCATCCGGTTTTAATGTACACGGGCATTATTCTATTCGGGCGTTTCGCATTTTGCCATTCAAGGATATAAATATATCTATGTATAATATACAATATATAACATAATATGTAATATACGCATGGACATGGAGAGACACAACATAACGTATAACAGAGAGTAGCACGTCGACTACTATCGCTATTTGTCCGCTGTCTATAAATAGCATCTCGCTGTTGATTTACGAATAAATGAAAGCCGTTGTGAGTATGCGTGGTTACATTACATTAGCTTATTCACTTCACTTATATTACTTGTATTCTTTTTATCTTTATTTATATTACTTGGCCATCTCTGTCCTCTCTCTCTCTCTCTCTCTCGCTTTTTTTCCACACTTGTATCGGCCGGGTACTCAATAGTTAACTAGCCGGTCACAAGTGCTATCTCACTTTGCGAGACACGCGCGTGTGTCCAAGATATCGTTAAGTATGTTGGCGTAAGTCCCCTGAGAGTTGTCCACGCGCGCTATACCACTCCAACGCTTTGCATTTACTTTAGATTTTAGCTCCTTCACCAGCTACAACCAACAATTAGTGTGCTAGATGTTAGCAAACCTAAAACAGACAATTAATAACAATTTATAGTCTTCATTCTAACAAAATTCATGATATGGAACAAAAAACAACTTGCAGATACAATTGGAGTTAAAAATTCAGGAATAACCGAATAATTACCTGTAAAATGACTTTTTTACGGATTTGGGACCCTGGAACACTTGGAACAGTCTTTGCGTATGCGCAGTAGTTTCTCAGCTTAATTAACTATAGGTTATATTCTATATAATTTTTATTTGTTTGTCTCCCTAAAACATAAGTAATTATACATATTCATAAATAAATTTATCTATTAATAGATTCTTATGTGAATTTGGGACTATGGAACATTTGGAACAGTCTTCGCGCATGTGCAGTTATTTTTGAGTTCAACTACAGATTGAATTTACAATCATATTTCTTTATTCATTCCTAAAACATAAGAAATTTGATATATCTGTCTATAAATTTACTGATAAATTGATCTTTGGTATAAATTTAAGACTATGGAACATTTGGAACAATCTTCGCGCATGCGCAGTAGTTTCTCAGTTGAACTATAGGTTATATTCTACGTCATTTTTGTTTTTTGTCTTCCTAAAATATAAGAAATTATACATATTTATAAATTAATTTACCTATTCATTGATTCTTATGTGAATTTGGGACTATGGAACATTTGGAACAGTCTTCACGCATGCGCAGTTGTTGCTCAACTTAACTACAGGTTATATCTTCCGTTATTTTTGTTTGTATTTATATTTTTATCCCTAAAACATAAAAAGTAAATAGTAAATATATTCTATCATTCTATAAAAGTGATAATAATAAATTTTCAATACTTAACATAATTCCTGAGCAAATAAAAACATGAAAACAGTGCAATAACCAACAAATACACCCATATAATACTTGATCCACGTCTCTATTACCAGCATATACTTATCCGTATTATCTTAATCTCATAATACCCACATCTATAACCTATACCGGCATTAAATAAAATTCCATGACAATTATACCATGCACCAGTTGTAATAACCTCCATAAAACTTGACGTTATAACATAAAATTAATTTAATAAAACTCGTAACTCTTGTATGTAACTTACAACTTGTAACCGACAAAGTCATTGTTAAGTAGTTAATTTGCCATTGTGTCATGTCACATAACTGATCTTGAAAACGCGATGATCAAGATGAGGATCGCGATGATAGGAGTGTAATAAAGTCTTAACGTCTGTAGTAACATTAAAGTATTTTGTCATTTGTTAGCAATAAACCGAGCTGCAATAAACCAAGACTATAATACCATTAATATAAATATATAGTTACCTTCTCTTTTTACTTAATTATCGTATCGTGGGTTTTAAGCACTTGGTAGTCATATACCCGCTGGTAGTCGTCTTGGTTGTCGTAGTCGTTGTCGTTCTCGTTCTCGTTCTCGTTCTCGTTCTCGTTGCACAACCAACTCTTTCTCGGACTCTCTCAAGGTGGTCTCGTCTAAATATAGCCGACCGCCGCCAGGAATAACACCAACCAGCTAGCCGGCAATGACCAAAGCATCTTGCACACCACGCCTTATTCTTCTTCATCTTCTTATTCTTCTTCTTGTTCTTCATCATCATCATCATCATCATCATCATCATCATCATCTTAATCTTAAATCTCTTTTACAGTCAATTTTTACAATATCTCAAACGTTATTTTTAGGTTAACTATATATTTAAATACTTTTGTAAATTATTACCGTGTAGTCCAGTTGGAGAGTGTAGATCCTTATTTTTAATTTCAAATAAACTTTATTTATTAATAATTATTAAAAACTTCATGGTCAACTTGTTTCTGCTCCACTTGTCTGAGAAATTTGTCATTATCAGGGTTATGTGATTATTTATACTTTGTTTTATTTAAAGTTGCTGTGTTATTCTCTTCGTTGTACTCTTCTGATGCTGTCATGATCCATGATAAATAAATTTGTGCATATATTGTCTGTTGAATGTTGAGCGATCATGACTCTAGACTCCAGACTCAATTCTACATGCATAAAATAACAATATACGATATTTTATATATACAATGCGTTTAAGTTGTTTGTTAAATTGTAATCAAAGTCTCGAGAGATAGATATTATCACAATGTTAAAACTCTATTCTATTATTTTATATTCAATTCAATTTAATTCAGTTTCAATCTCTTGAGCTGTATGCTCCGCACTTAAAGAACAATAAATTCCTCTCTGGTGATTGCTCTTTTAATTTGTATGTTAATAAGCCACGTGTGGTATTTCACAGGCACTGCTGGAAGTCCCTTAATGTCCTCGGTACAACATTAAGATTTCATTTTGATCAATTGTTGTTGTCTGTTATCTGGAATAATTGTTAGAGAAGAAATCGCTTGTTTCAAAAAAAAAATGGCTCTAGTTAAGATTTATTTGTTTCTTACTTTTTTTTTTCAGAATATATTAATTATTTATAAGAATGATTAGGTGATATTTTTTTTATTTTTATAAAAATTCAATTATAATGAAAAAAAATTGAATAAAAAATTCCACATGTGAAATTTTGAAAAAATTACAAGTGCAAATTTTTAAAAATATTTTTTTTTTATAAAAAATTAAATTATTATATAGCTCTCAGAAATATTCAGAAGTTTCCTGATTTCAGTGTCTTTTTTTTATCCACAATTATAATTTTAAAAAATTTTTTAAATGTTTATAATTTTTTTTTTTTGCAATGATAAATAGCAACAATAGTATCTCAATTCTTTATAAGTTGATTCTTAAAAATAAAAATTATTTTTAGTTTTATATACTGATATTTCTATAATCGTAATTAAAATTCTATTGAATTTGAAAAATATGAAATTAGTCAATCAACAATATAATCATCACGTTTTATTTATTCAAATAAAATTAAAAAAGAAGCAATTTGTAATGAAAACTTATTAAATTTTCAACTAAAAAAATAGCCACAAAATATTATCAACTTAAAACATTAACTGAAAAACTACATTTTATGGTATTAATTTTTTCTGCAAGCTTAACAGTTTTGTTCTGTTAGGAATGCCAACAAAATATCTCTTCATTCATTAAAATTTGACATATTCTTCTTAGTTAATTAATTTTTTCAGTTAAACAAAAGCCTCTTTATTAATTAATATAAATTTTTAAAGTTCAGTATATCTAAAAAATAAAATAAATTAATTTTTCAATCGAAATAATGGATTGTTTATTTTACTGTTTCAGAAATGTTCCGATTACAGAGCTTCAAACATACCAACTTTTGCAAGAACAGAGCCACCAGACAGACAGGCGTCTAAATCAGTAATAGCACTTCTCCTGCACTACGGGTGGACTAAATTTTCAATTATCACCGAAAAGGACTGGTCGCTTGTTGCTGACCAATTGGTGACCCAGGCTGTTAATAATAATTTAACAATAAATCACTTCAAAATTGTTGAGGACCGACACAAATGTTGCGAGGATAAACTTGTTTGCTGTCAGAATGTCTGGTTTCAATTGATTCAAGAAACTAAAAATATGACGAGAAGTTTGTATTCTTTTTTTTTTTTCTTTTTACTTATATTCAATTGTACATAATATTTCTATCAAGCGTCTTATTAAATAAGTTTATTGTAATTGTTTGTTTCAGTTTATGTCTTTATGGGCCCGTCACCTTCACTTATAGAATTAATGTACGCGATGCAGAATCAAAGATTGTTAGACAATGGCGAGTATATGGTGATCTATATTGACATGATGACGTATTCGCAGAAAGAAGCTAGCAAGTACTTATGGAGTTAGTATTATACTTTGTTCTTTATAATATCTTACTATAAACAATAATTAATAAGACATTCAAGTAATTTTTAATGGCATTAAATTTTTTGAATTGTTTATTTTTTAATAAAAATTTTTTTTCAACATTAAAAGCTTTTAAAATAATTGATAAATTTATTTTTAAAAATTTTTATTAATAAATTCACCGTGAAATAAAAATATTAATTGTAATAAATTTATGGGTTTCTTATTAAACTATCAAAAATTTTTATTATTTAATTTTAAATATTAATATTAATGATGATAATAATTTTTTAGGACCAAGTGAATTGAATACGCTAAAGAATTGTCTGGATATAAATCATTTTTTGAAACGAGCCCGTTCTTTACTGGTGGTAGCATTAACGCCACCACTTCAAAGTTATGAAAATTTTACAGAAAAAGTTCAAGAGTATACAAGAAAAGAGCCGTTCAAATTTACGGTACCCGAATTATTTAACTATTCAAATTTTGAAAAATATGTATCTATTTATGCGGCGTATTTGTATGATTCTGTAAAACTATACGCAACAGCACTTGACCAATTATTACGGGAACAACCAGAGCGTGAGATCGACGAAATAGTTAGTAATGGTACGCTAATTATTCAAACAATAATTAGACGGCACACGTATCAAAGTAAGTTATTATTTATTATTATTATCATAATAAATTTATTTTAAAAATTGATGTAAATATTTGCTATTTAAGGTGTCAGTGGACAGACAATAAAACTTGACTATCAAGGTGATTCGGAAGGAAACTTTTCAGTTCTTGCACTAAAAAAAGAACACTTTCATTTCATAGATGCTTTGAATTCATTACCTGTCAATTTTACGTGTGACTATCAAATGAAACCAGTGGGACTATTTCAGCAGGGTGAAGCTCTAGTGAGTGAGTTGTCTAAATATTATGGTGCGCGTGTGCATTTATTACCTATTTTATTTTATTACCCCGTAGTTTGTGTAATTAGTAATTAATTTATTAAGCCAGTAATCTGTAATACTAAAAAAGTTAATAATAATTGTTAATAATACTTGTTACTTATCACTCAGGTGTACAGACCATCAGAATCGATGGAATGGCCTGGAAAAAATAAACCAGAAGCTGAACCCGGTTGTGGTTTTCTCAATGAACACTGTCCTAAAGATGATACTCATGGTCACAGTATTATCGCAGCAGCAATACTTGCTATTATTTTGTTCTGCGTTGCTGTTATAACAATGAGTATCTACAGAAGATGGAAAATAGAACAGGAAATAGAGGGTCTTTTATGGAAAATAGATCCTAGTGATATACATGGTTATCCCCACCATGATAATCTTATGTCTTCACCTAGTAAGGTAAATATTTATTCATCTCGTATATTATTAATTTTTTTTATTACGAGTAATAATTTAATTTTTTTTTTACTTATCAAAATAGTAAAAATTTTAATATAATACTAGCAACCTTACAGTCACTGTGTTACTGCTGTGATTTGTGAACTATAAATAAATAAAATTTTGTTTTATTAAATAATGCCTTTTGTCAAATTGCACTTTACTTTTTCAACTATTGACGTTTTTAAAGATATAAGCTCATCCTGATATTACACTCATCAAGAGCTTTCATTTGAGTACCCACATGCATTTTTGATATATTTTTCATATATTCACATATATAATATATATTTTAAAGATATAACCTCATCCTGATGTTACACTTATCAAGAGCTTTCATTTGAGTACCCACATGCATTTTTGATATATTTTTCATATATACATATATATATAATATATATAAATATATGAAAAATTGATGTGGGTACTCAAATGAAAGGTCTCGATGAGTGTAACATCGGGATGAGCTTATATCTTTAAAAATGTCAATAGTTCTCAAGATACAGGGTCATTTCTTAATTATGTATCTAGAGATAGTTTTCAAATGTAGCCTAAATATTTATCATAATAAATTGACTATCGATAAGAATGATATGAAATCTTGAAAAGGCACAAATTCAAGTCAAGACCTTTGCAATGACACTAAATATCATTAAAAAAAAAAAAAAAAAAACGATTTTATCATATGACTATTCTAGACACAAAATTATTTTTATTTTTTTATTAATATAGATTAAAATATAAATAATTTTCTTAGTGTAGAAATTAAAATCACGGGTTAAGTACCCGAGCCAGTCCCCTATGTATATTAAGCTTCCTTGCATTTCTAAACCAGTTATTTCCAATCAATTAAATTATTATTTCATTAGTAAGTCAAGGGGGACTTAATACCGGTATTTTATTACAGATCTATTTTAGTCTTTTTGTTCTTCAATATTCCATCAATAGTTTATTTTAAAATTTTTTTATAGGACAAGTTTCATATCGCTTTTTTTTTTTTTTTTATTGATATATGAATATTATTATTAATTGTTGCTTATAATTAAATTTTATTTTTTCCAGTTAAGTTTAGTTAGCGCGATGTCTTATGAATCAAAATGTGGTGGTCAAGTATTTGCACAAACAGGGCATTATCATGGAGTTATTGTGCGAATAAAAGAACTTAAATTTACCAAGAAAAAAGATATATCACGTGACGTGATGAAAGAAATGCGTGTTTTGCGTGAAATAAGACACGGTAATCTTAATTCATTTATCGGTGCTTGTGTTGAGCCGACAAGAATATTATTAATTACCGATTATTGTGCCAAAGGAAGTCTTTACGTATGTAAATCATTGTCATTGATTATGATTATTATTTTTATTTAAACGATCACTTAATTAGATTACTATACTGAGCTATTTCCTTTGCAGGATATAATTGAGAATGAAGATATTAAGTTAGATGATATGTTCATTGCATCACTAGTTCATGATCTCATTAAGGTAAATATATTTTTATAACACTGATAAAAAAAATTTACTTTAATACAAGAGAAAAAATCTTGAATCAAAAAAATTATTTTGAAGAGATTGATCATTTTAAATCAAGAAGAAAAATTCTTTGAGCCAACTCAATTTTTTTATCAGTTTGTAATTTTTTATTTTATAAAAAAATTTTAATTATATATGTACGATGTGATTTATGATTGTAGGGTATGTTGTATATTCACGAATCGTCCGTGCTAGTCTGTCATGGTAATTTAAAGTCTTCAAATTGTGTTGTAACTTCTCGATGGGTACTTCAAGTTTCTGATTTTGGTCTTCATGATATGCGACATTGTGCTGAATCTGAAAGTATTGGAGAACATCAGTACAATCGAAGTAAGATTACTTTAATGTAATTTTGATATTAAAAAATATCTAATTATTGCTATATTAAATATCTGATTATTTAATTTTTTTTATTAATTACAGATTTATTTTGGAAAGCACCAGAATTATTAAGAGACCCCAATGCACCTATTAGAGGTACTCAAGAAGGTGATATTTATTCTTTTGCCATAATACTTTTTGAGATAGTCGGTAGAAAAGGACCATTCGGTGGAGTTAGTTTGGAACCCAAAGGTATTTATATTAAAACTTGATACTATTATCATATCATCATCTATAAACTTATATAAGAATTTACTTATATAATTTATTGTATTGCATTGTATTATAATGTTTCTGTTTCATTATTTAACTGCATTATTTAGTTATTACTCATCAATTATATCTAAACTTTGTATTATTGCCATCCGGCTAAGCTTTGGCATATAGATCTAATAAATAAACTGATGAAATAAATTACAATCAGTTAATAAATCTTAATAATTCACAGAAATAATAGACAGAGTAAAAAAATATCCAGAAGATGATGAGCATCCATTTAGACCCAACATTGAAATTCTTTCCGAGTCTGACGCGGATTGTCCTGACTATGTCGTGAACACGATAACAGACTGCTGGGCCGAGTGTCCTGAATTAAGACCGGATTTCAAGACAATTAGAACGCGCTTAAAGAAAATGAAAGCAGGTAGACATCGTAATATTATGGACCAGATGATGGATATGATGGAGACGTATGCCAACAACCTCGAGGATCTAGTCAGTGAGCGTACGCGCCTTCTCTTCGAGGAGAAACAAAAAACTGAGGATTTACTTCACAGGATGTTACCTAAGTTAGTTTTTAATAAATATATATATATATATATATATATATTTTTTTTTTAATATGTTCGAAGCTTTTCGAAATTATTTACATTTTTTTTTAATTATTACAGACCTGTTGCAAATTGTTTGACTAATGGAATCGGTGTTGAACCAGAAGCTTTTGATTCAGTGACGATCTATTTCAGTGATATCGTTGGATTTACTTCTATGTCTGCTGAAAGTACTCCTTTCCAGGTACATATTTTTTTTTTTTTATTTACTAAAAATCGCTTTATATTTAATAACTAAGTTTATTGATAAATTGTTCCAGGTTGTCAATTTTCTTAATGATCTTTATACTTTATTCGATCGTATAATTAAAGGCTACGACGTTTATAAAGTCGAAACTATCGGTGATGCGTACATGGTGGTATGTAATAAATATATAACAAAATGAAATGTATTTATTTATCTCTGATTAATTTAGTAATTATTATTAATTTTATTAGGTATCGGGGTTACCGATAAAAAATTCTAATTGGCATGCAGGAGAAATAGCTTCAATGTCATTAGAGCTTCTTAACGTAGTTAAACAGCACTCGATTGCTCATCGGCCGAATGATACGTTAAAATTACGAATAGGAATTCATACGGGTACGAAAAATTTATTTATTATTTTTATACACTATCTAAGATCTCTAATTTTTTTCATACTTAAATTTATATTTATTTTTTGATTAGATATTCAGATTGAGAAATTTTTTTGTAACCGCATTTGCAATTTTTCTAATGAAAGATTAAACTTTTAGGTCCAGTAGTAGCAGGAGTTGTAGGATTGACAATGCCACGTTACTGTCTTTTTGGAGACACAGTAAACACAGCCTCACGTTTGGAGTCAACCGGTGAACCTCTAAAAATCCACATAAGTGCCCAATGCAAAGACGTTCTAGATAAAATTGGAGGATATATTATCGAAGAACGCGGATTTGTGCACATGAAAGGAAAAGGTGACGTGAAAACTTACTGGTTAGTCGGCGCCACTGAAAAAGCTGTCCAAAAACGCGAGGTAAAATTAAATTTTATATTTCTTTCAATGTAACTAGCAACCTTGCAGTCACTATGTGACTGCTGTAACTTGTGAGCTGTAAATAAATTAAATTTTGTTTTATTAAATAATGACTTTTGTTAAATTGCATTGTACTTTTTTAACTATTGACGTTTTTAAAGATATAAGCTCATCCTGATATTACACTCATCAAGAGCTTTCATTTGAGTACCCACATGCATTTTTGATATATTTTTCATATATTCACATATATAATATATATTTTAAAGATATAACCTCATCCTGATGTTACACTTATCAAGAGCTTTCATTTGAGTACCCACATGCATTTTTGATATATTTTTCATATATTCATATATATATATATAATATATATAAATATATGAAAAATTGATGTGGGTACTCAAATGAAAGGTCTCGATGAGTGTAATGTCGGGATGAGCTTATATCTTTAAAAATGTCAATAGTTCACAAGATACAAGGTAATTTCTTAATTATCATATAAATATACTGGCCACAAAATTTTGCTTATTCTCTTAATAATATAGAAAATTTTAAAAAACAAGTTTTATTTCTTACACTAATTTTTTTCAGGTTGACATAAATGATTTACCACCACTGTTCTGTCGTCCACGACGCAGTCCAAAATTAAATTCAGACTCACGACAGCCTTCACTACTCGCAGGACTGGGTGCTGGTAGCAGAAGACAATCCACCGTTCCGCGACCCACTGAAGACTCAGTATCACAATGTGGAAACTCGAGTCCAGTTCCACGTGCTCTTCGCCTGGGAAACCTAGACCGCTCAGTTTTCCTGGACAACATTTCCAGAAGCACTTTAGTAAACACGACCGTAAAAGAAGAATCAGACATCCGTAAGGCAAATGTAAAAGAAGCCATCGCAAACTTCTTTTCAGATCCTAAGGAAAAAACTCCACGAGTACTGTCTACGATAGCTTCTTCGTCGACAACCAGCGATTATCCAACTCAGCTTCTTCGTGAAACACGATCGCTAGACCTGTTTCCTGTAGTGTTAACTGGGAGCGAATCGTTTCGTCTCAGTAGCAAGGATCTAAGGCACATATACAAGTCTTTTGAAAGTTGTGATAGGTGTGGTGGTGGTATGCGAGATAGCATCATTGATAAGGTTATTAATAATAACTATCCTAATGGCGATTTGTTAACGGTGACACGTAACGATCATCATCATCATCATCATCATCATCACTCGTCAAATGAAGAAGTAGATTCTCCATTACTCGGCGATGACACTATTTGCACAGGGGAAATAGCTATTGCTAACAAACCCTGGAGGTCCCTTGATCAAGTTACTCAAGCGTCAACCAACGACAATGTCACGGATAAAAAAACTTCCACTAGAAATTCAATAAGGAGTTGGCTTGTTAATTTATTCAATGGTAATGGACTTAGAAATAGTGACGTTTCATTAAGACGCGGAGTTATCGCTGGTTATGACATACAATCTGAACGTGAGAGTATCGTGTAAATTTGTTTTTTTTTTTTTCCTTTTACATTATTGAATAATATATTAATTAATAATTAGTTATTTTTTTTTCTGTAAACTTTCCAAGCGGACGAAACGCTTGTTTAATTGTTGCCATTTATAATTCTGTTTATTTTTATTCAATTATTATTATTAAATTTATTGATTATAATTATTAATTAAAGTATAGTATAGATTTTAAGTATGTGCAATTTATGTATATGAAAGTTACCGACAAGTGTATATTTTTTAGATTTTATAATTTGTACCGTTAAAATGTTTATGGATATGTTTATATTTAGATTTTTGAATAATTAATTTAATTTAATATTATCATCAATTTATTAATTGATGATTACTATAATTATGACTATTACTATGTTAATAAAATTTATTTTCGCGGCCTAGAGAGTGCGATAAACTTTATATTTTTTAACGAAGGCGCTTCGTCGCAACCAAAGTTTAAAAATTGACAAATAAAACAAATAAAAAATATTTTTTTGTGTTAATACTTTGACAGATGGATTATTAATTATTAATTGTTGTTGTGTAATCTATTATTTACATAATTATATAATTGTATGAGTATATAATATATATTAATTAATTAATTAACCAATTAATTAATATGTATTAATTTTTTTGTTCACTGAAGGAAAGCAAATTATCTGTATGGCTGTGAAAAGTGAACTGGATTGTACCTAAGGTGCTAGCGTAAGAAATTATAATATCAATTATGTCAAATGTATATAACTGAATAATTATAATAATTATGATATGATGATATAAATAATATTATTAATAGTTATACTGAAATAACTGATAATATATGTAAAAACAAATGTATAAATTAAAAATAAATAAACAAGAAAATAAAATATACAGACACTAAAGCTATATATAATTAATAAATGTCTAATTAATATTATAAATGTACACTACGATCTATTGATATATTCTTCTTGTAATAAAAATCAATTTACCCCAAGATTCAATTGTTGTCTTTGTTAATTAAAAAAAAAAAAAAAAATTATCACTTTAGAATTTATAAGTTAAAAATGTTTTTTTGTTGAAGCTATTTTAATATTTTAATTATTTAAATTTATTGACGTTCTATGAATAACAATTTTGATTTTAATTATTCAATCTATTTATAAACTATCGCAATTATGTTATTTATTTCATCATTCAAATGATTTAGATTACTTTGAAACGAGAATTATGTTAGTGTAAAAAATTAATATCTTAATGACAAATGATAACTCATTATTTAGATCAATAAATAATTATTCATGATTAAAAATTGCTAAGAAACAAAAGACAATTTTTTTCATTATACTGAAACAATGAAATATTTATATTGTATGTTGACGAAATGCACTGACCAATCATGTTCAATTTACAGTAAAGATTAAAAAAAAAAAACTTGTGATCTAATCTCTTATATACAGTTTATTATCTTCATCTTAAATTACCAGAGAAGAACTTACTTAATAACGAAAATTTTTTAATAATTATTAAACTACTTTTAACAGTTCAAAATTAATCTTGACCATTCAAAAACTTTGCCATAAAACCAGTAGGCTTTTTTTCGACTGTATCATTGAAGTAGTTCATTAAAGTTCCTTTGTTTTTCCATTTCTCTGATGTTTCTTTCAGCTCCATCTGACCCTACAACACCAATTACGCTTATTAAGGGCCAGTTGTTTAATCCAAGATAAAATTTTATCCAATGCTAAAATATGTCTATATATTTTATGTATATAAATATACTGACAATAATTTTATCCTGGGTAAAATTTTATTCCTGATTAAAAAACTGGTCCTCAGATTTTATCAATATCTTATTGAGTACCTTAACGACAAGAAGATCAATTACACGTATATCGGTGACATTTTTGTTTTCGTAAAACTTTTCTCGAATTTTGGCTCTCAAGTCATTCTCACTCTTGGGAATATGATAATCCAATACTAGAAAAAAATTTCAAATGACATGTTTACATAATCAAAAAAACAAAAATCAGTGACTAGGTAATAGGTTATAAATTTTTTTAGAGTATAAATAATCAACAAGATATGTAAAAAATTATTTATGACTACTTACGAATATAAGGTATTTGTCGGTACCATGATCTGTATAAATTTAAGACTCTTCTATGAGCTTCAGCTTTAGATAATGATAAAACTGGCTTTACTTGACGAACAGCCCGTACGGGTGCCGACATTTTTATTTTTGTGAATGTGTAAATTAAAAAAAATATCTAAATACTTGGTAACAATCAATTCCTACTTAATTATCGGCAATAAAAATTTTTTGATTATCTACGGACGATCTTCAATCAGTAATTAATTTTTTTTTTATTTTTAATGTCAACATAGCACCTTTAAATTAATTATTATTATCAAAATTAATTACGTTAATTTTTTAATTAAATACGAGCATTTTTATTGTATATAACAAAACTCCGTGTTTGATATGTTATTTCTTAAAATCACGGATGGTGGAATTTAAATTTAGTAATTTTCTAGTGACTAAGACCATGAGAGATGGCGTGCAAGCTCTTGTTATTTATTTTGAAAATTAAACAGTTAACGGTCGAGTCGACAGGTTTAAACAAGTTTACAGGTGTTTGGCGTCTGTTCTTATAAAACAAATAAAAGTTTTTATACTAAATATAAAAAAAGTGAAATTTAATTATTAATAAAATGGAAGAGTTTAAAACACCAACGAGCAAGAGATTCCGCAGTTGGTTTGATGTAGACAATTTAAGTCCATTAAAAATACCTGCGACGCCTTTTTTGAAACAAATAGGTTATGGATGTGGTAAATAATTATTTTTTTTACTGTGCAAATTTTAATAATTATTTTTCATGACAATGAAATTAAAAGACATCTGACAATGGTTAATTTATTTTTAAGTTTAATTAATTATATTTTTTTTAGGTGTCAATGTATTTACACTTGAAAGATCACCCAAGGTCGGATTCGCGCGATCACCGTGGGCAATTAAAAAAAGAAACGCAAATTTATCGAAAGATATTAAGTATGATTTGAGAATAAAATTTGAAGCTGATATTCTCAGGAATTTAAATCACCCGAATATTGTTGGTTTTCGTGCTTTAACTTTGTCAGCGACGGGAATTCCATGTCTTGCTATGGAAAAATTAGATCAATCTTTAGGTAAATTCATTAATTTATCTACTATTATTATTGTCATCATTCGTTTGATATAAATAGACATTAATGTTTATTTTTTGTAGGAGATTTGATTGAAGAAAGAGTTGATACTGAACAAGATCCGTTCAAAGCCGAAGATATTGAATTTGTTGGTTACGAAATAGCCAAAGGCTTGGATTATTTGCATCATACGGTCAATATTTTGCACGGTGACCTCAAGAGCTACAATGTTTTGGTCAGCAACAATATGAAGACAATAAAAATTTGTGATTTTGGAGTATCAGTGCCAATTGACAAGAATATGGTCATGAACGATGGATTTATTTACACTGGAACTGAGTGTTGGAATGCTCCAGAAGTCATAAGTGGTAATTATTTGTGTTAAAATTGTTTTAAAATCTGCGTAGCTGAAGTGTGTTTTATAAATTCCGCCTGTCGGCGGTAGCGTGGCCGAGCGGTCTAAGGCGCTGGTTTAAGGCACCAGTCTCTTCGGAGGCGTGGGTTCGAATCCCACCGCTGCCAAATTTTTTTTCCATTTTTATAGAATTTTCAAAAAAAAAATTATCCTAACAAATTTTTAGATGTTATAATGGAGTATGATGATAATTTACTCCAAAATTTTTACTTACAAAAACCTTGTTTTTTTAACTTTTATAAAAATATGTCAATATTTGTGCAGTTTTAATTAAAGTATATTTAATTATTTCATTCATTTTTTTGTGATAAAAATTTTAGAGTAAAAATATTTTCTACTCGGTTAAAAAAAATTGTTTAACTAAATAGTATCGGCTATGTTGGGATTATAGATAAAAGTGACGATGTATTGTTTTAGAATAAATGAAGATTTTCATTTATTGAAATAGAGTTTCCAGAAGTGTGTCTTAACACCATCAAGGATCAGAGAAAACTAACTGCTTATAACTATAATACTACAGTTGTCCTTTTTACATCGTGTAACATTTATAGTTTATGCAGTCTATACAATGCTTGAATTATACCTAGTTTTTATGACTCGTAGTTCGAGTACTTTAAACTATACTTCTCCGAAATAATAAAATAAAACCTTTTTCAAGGGTGAAAATGTGTTTACCAAATGTTACTTAAAAAGGAAAACTTTCACTTTCAGAAAAAAAATAAACTTAAAATGTTTAAAATATAATATCCTTAAAAGAGGATGATTTTTTTAGACAAACTCAATATTTCAACAGGCTAAATATTATTTTTATGCGTTGAAAATTTATTTAAAATAATCCAATTCAGTCAAACTTTGTTTCAACTTAATAACGCGGTATGTCTTAATATTTATTAAAATGATTTGATCATTGCAGAGGAAGGCCCAATTACAAATAAAACAGACATGTGGGCATATGGACTAATACTCTGGGAAATGATTGCCTTGTCGCCTCCACATGTTGACACTGGAGAAGAGTTGAGTGAATCCATATTGAACAATACAATGGATTCTGTGATTGATGACGAGAACACAAATCCCAACAATAGTGAGCTGCTTGACAGTAGTTTGTTTCAAGATATAAAAGTCAATGAAAATTTAGGCAAGTATTATTAATCATAATTCATAATCATTGTAAAGACATTATTTTTAGTACAATTTTATTGAAAGGTATTGTTATTAATATTATATTGACTTTTTACAATTATTTACTTAGGAACACGACCAGCTTTGCCAGCGATTTCCATTGGACCAGAATACGATCACATTCTTGAAATATTTACTTTATGCACTGACCAAGACTACAAAACTCGTCCGAGTGCTAGAGGTGTTGTCATGTATTTTCAGAATTCGATTTTCAAGCCTTCCGGTGGCAGCAAATAAGTTTTGAACACGTTTATTTTTTATTACTATCTTAAGGTATTTTTTGAAGAATTTATCAGTAGCCTTGCATGACAATATTTATAAGAAAATAGCAATTAGTAGTAGGATAATAATTATAATGCCGAGTATGATAAGTAATTTTGTTTTTCTCTGGAAAGAAAAAATTAGGAATTAGTAATTAGTTGTGTCAATTATTTAAATAATAATTTATGTTACTTTTCGATTTCTGCGACGTCTTTTTTCGGCTTTTGTAAGATCACAGCGACCACCTTCTACGTCGTCAGTTGCTTTACCAGCAAAATATTCAACACAATTTAGTTGCTCGCCCTAAAATATGTATATTATAATATAATAAAGAAAACATGAATTATTAAATATTAAAATATATTATTTCATAACATATTTTACCTGTTTTTCAACAGAAAAGGCTATTTCTAAAAACATATCTCTTATTTCCTTTATTGATTTTTCTAATTTTATTATTTCATTATGTCTAAATTGTATTTCTGTAAGTTGTAATTTAGCTAATCTACTTTCTTCTAGTATCTAGTTATTAAATAAAAATAATTATTTTCTAAATAAATGCTTACATGTGTAATGTATATATTTATGATAATAAAAATAATTAATAATAAATACTGACGTTATCCACAAAAAGATTTGTTTTTTCTTCATCATTATCGGATTGATCGAATATTTGACTTGCTGTTTCTTTTCTAACTAAAAATAAATTTATTAAATATTATTTTGAGTTTCAGTCAACTAGTTAGATTTGATTTAACAATTTTCCTAATTAAAAAAATACAAGATAGATTCAAAATATTTAATGATATTATTTTAAACTTTGATTATAACAGATTTTTAAGTATCGGAAAGACAATTTTTACATCAATTTTTTATTATTTTAATAATTTGGATAATTGTCAGTCTAATTAGTTGACTGCAATTGATTATTTTAAGTGAAAGCAATTTACTTAGGTAATGATACTACATTTAATGAAAATTAAGTTAGCCATTTAAAAATTAAAAAAATTGTTTTTTCATTGAAAAAATAATTATAAAAAAATTTTTTTTAATTTCATTTGTAAAAAACTGTAAGTGCAATTTAAAAAAAATGTTTTTTTGTTCTAACTTAAATAAAAAAAAAAATAAAAACTTCAGCTAACTTAATTTTCATCTAAATTTAACAGACACAACAATTTTTTAGATTTTTCTAACAGTTAAATTAATATGAAAAAAATTTTTTAAAATTATAAATGCGAACTTTTGAAAATATTTTTTTTTATAATAATTGATCTGTTTTAAAAATAAAAAAAAATTGTTAAACGTCTGATAATTTCAGTATCATCCTTAGGTAACCCAACGCAGCTGAGCAAAAGCAAGTTTAAATTTTTCGCGCTTAGCCGCCATCTTTAGCGCGCTCACCAAAGCAAAAAACCATTTGTTTACTTAACAAAAACATACGTAATATCCTTTGCTGGTGTAACAACGACGAGCACTTATCATGATATCTCAATAACGATTCATTATAAGCATGCATAATATCTGAAAACATCCTCAGTATAGTTGCATACTGCAAAAATTTAATTCGCATATAAACGGGACCATCTCTCGCGCTCTCCAACGTCAGTTCATCAACACTCGACACATCTTTTCCCAACTCTGTAAGTAATTAAAAATTAACAAAACCAATTAAAAATAAACTCTACAACTTAATTTATGTATTTTTAAAAATATCTATTTAAAATTAAATAATTTTTTTTTTTTTTCATAAAGTTTAATTTCAACGGCCAGAGTGAGGTTATGTTTACATGAATAAAACCTAAACAACAACAATGGAGCCACTGAGAATATTTGAAAAGTTCAAGTTAGACAACTTGGACAAATCTTGGACCGAATCAGTCTGGAACAATCAATTTATCCTCATTAACAAAATACCTGGTGACTATGCATTATTCGCCGAGAGTGAAGACATGGAGATCCTGCTCAAAGACACGAGTATAGTTTTAAAAACCTGGATTGACACAAATAAAAACGAGAGCTCCAACAGTGACCAGTCAGAGGTGTCCTGGCAAACGCTGTGTGCTCTGACCGTCGACCCGAGAGCGCTTTTGGCCCTCTTGGGGTACTTAATAAAAACCGGGCAGGGTATGGACGCCGATGAGGACTCCCGACAAGCTTGTCTTCACGCTACCAGTCTCTACTTAACCCTCCTAGCGATTCCAGGCAGCAGCGCGTACCAGATCTTCCACGAGAACTTGTACTACAGCGTGGTGAAATCTTTGGAGCTGTCCCAGCACCTGATGCCAGTAGTAAAAAAATCAGTGAAGAACCTGGACCTCGAGAGTCTCTACATCCAAGACGAGGAACCATCCCGCTTGCTCCAAACCGAGAAGATAACCCTCACCAAGAGCCTGAACGTCATAATGTACAACATGATTCTGATGCTGAACTCCTGGCACATGCGCGACTACGTTCGCTCCCTGGAGCAGACAGTTGACTCCCTGATCGAGGTAACTAAGCTTGGAACCGAGGTAAGTGATTTCAAATCACCTAAAAAGGTATCCGAAGGCTCCGTGGTCTCTTTAGTTCACAACGCCTACGCAGCGCTTGGACAGTTGTGTGATCCTCGTCACGGACATGTTGAAGTGACTATCAAGCTGATCGCCAAGAACATCCTGCCTCACATGCTGTACAATTACACGAGGATACCACTGAGGTCGCTGACTGTCGTTCGGGATACGGCGATATACTTTCTCAAGACTCTTCTCTTGAAGCACCAGAAGAATGCAGAGACTGGTGTGATGATATTGATCCAGCATCTGATGGTGAATTGTCCAGAGAGACTGGAGACGAGACAGAAGCAAGCGAGTGTTATTGTCAAGCTGATAAACATCTGCTGTAACACCTTCTATGCTAAGATGATTAAAGACCTTGTTCTGTTTGCGCATAATAATAAAATTCCTTGCAGGATATTTGCCCAAGAAATCATCGGGAGGTTTTTGTTGGACCCGATGAAAGATGAACAAAATTCTGAACGAGCTGCTGCGACTAGCAAATACAAGTGTATTTTATTCGGCACTGTTCTAAGTCGCTGTACGGATGTGTCAAGCATGGTTCGTGGAAGAGCAATGGCCACCCTGGTGGAGTACACAAACACCAGCAACAATCCGTTTGTTATTAATCTGTTCAGTTTTTCAGATCTATCACAACGCCAGTTACCGACACTGGAAACTCTGCTGGAAGGATTCGATTCTGATACAGTTGATAGTCTGCTTCCAGATGTCAATAATTTTATTTCGATGCTGAAGACTCGAGCGGAAGATGAACGCGCTTTAGTGCGTCGCAGTTCGATGCAGATATTCCAGAATGCAGTGCTGAATTCTCCAGATCTGCTGGACACTGTTGTACCGGTTGTCAGCGAGCACTGTCGCGATCCAGCGATGATTGTAAGGAAGTTCGCGATTCAGGTGCTCACGACTTTATTGGAGTCTTATCCTAATCACGAGACTCTCTACAAAGTCTGGGTTAAGGCTGTGGTGCCTCAGGTTTTTGATATTGAAGTTAAAGTCCAGGAAAAGGTGCTCGAGACTATGGAGGCGTTGATAATTGAGCGCGTTGATAAATTAAAGAAAAATGATAGCCTGCCTTGGAAAATTATTGATGAATTGACGGTGATGAAAATGCGAAAGCATTTGACTCGCGCTTGCGATGCTTGGCTGCACAGTGAAATCATTACTAATTCAACAATAAGAAAAATTCAGTCTTATATTAATACTGAGCACAACATAGCTGCCTGGACACTTTTATCCGCAATTGCTGAAAATGAAACGATTCCTGGAATGCGTGAGTATTTTGAAAACTACCAAGAAATTTTAAAAGGTCAAGGTTTCTTTGAGTTTTTAGCAATGGAGGTGTTGCGCTGTTGCTGGCCGACTTTTGATAGTAATTTTCTAGAAAAATTGTCTGAAAATATCTATCAGTCACTAAAAAAAGCGACGATTAATCCGGTGTTAATAAGCATTTCAATGGACATACTATACGGTATTCTCAAGCATTTAAATTCAGGTGACTCTCAAATAGAGTCTAAAATGACTGATCTGATGCAGTCCTCGGAGAAGATAATCGAGCTGATAATGAACCAAGATATCAAGCATACCCCGGTTGACGTTAATAACTACACCAAAGCTATTTGTACTCTAGGACATGCGTCGCTGTTTAGTACCAACGCAATTCGGTTGAATTGTATTAGAACTCTGCAGGGTATGCTTATTGAGTGGGAAAGAATGCCTTTGTCTCTGCAAAACGCCCGAGAACTTCAAGCAACAGCAATAGTAGCCTTGGGACAGCAGGCAATGAGAGAAGAAAAAATCGCCCATGAAATGATGCCGATATTTGGTCAACTGCTCAGCGCTGGTGTGAATTCTAATGCTCGAATTAATCAACGTGATGCTGATGCAGACGCTGCAGTTCGGGTGAATGCTGCTAAGGCGCTTGCTGATGTTTGTACTAGGTTTACGGCTCTTGTTGAGCCGTACTTGCCTGACATGTGTGTCAGTATGAAAGGCGATAATAAAACAGTAAGAGAAGCTATTGTAGTTATTTTTATCCAGTTACTTGTTGAGGATTATATCAAGGTAAAAGGTTCATTTTTCTTTCACATTCTCACCATGCTATCCGATCCCGATGACACGATACGTGAGATGACGGTGTTTCTTATCAAAGAAAGATTGCTGGTTAAAAATAAAACTCTGATATCCCAGCAATTTTTAGAGGGTATTTTCCACTACAATGATTATGAGCTTGATGAAAAGTACCTGGAGAGAAAAATGGGTTCTGCTGAGAGGAAAGCGCTAACCTTGGCCGGTAATATTAATGCCAGCAAACGGAGGATTATTTATGATTTTATGCTGGAGCATCTTGACCTACCAGGAAAGCTCAAGTTGTTGATCAGGTTGACTACCCAAGTGCTTCATCGCGCGTTGAGCGATAAAATAAATGCCAATGATGAAAAAGGTCGGTGTGTTTTGCAAGACACGTTTTATATTATTGCCAGCGACCAGTTGCAGCCGTCATCGTGTACCAGTAAGCACAATGATGATGATGCTGATGATAGTACAGTGACTAGTTCTAGCAATACGGGGGCCAGTCATGCTGGTAATGTTATTGCGGATGGTATTAAAAAACATGGCTTGAATCATTTGCTACCGACGATGATAAAGCTGAAGATTAAATTGAAGAAGTTGAACGGTAAATCTAAACTGGTGGAGGATATCTCCAAGTCTATTGCTAGGATTGGCACTGAGTTCAATAAAGAACAGTTGTCGAGTCTGTACAATGAGTGGCCGGAGATTGAAAAAGAAATGGAGTTTGACATACGGTAAATTATCTGACAAAATTATAATTGTGAAAACTGGTTAAAACTGTTGATGAATTTCAGGAGGTACGGTAAGAAAGGAGTTGATGAATCAGCTGAGCAGGAATTTACTTCTCAAGCCGGAGAGGCTGTTCATCCGTTGTTGGATAACAACCGGATTCCAAGGATTGTTATCGAGAAGTTGACGAGTCTCAGTTGCAATGATGAAGAGACCGAGAATTTGATTTGTGATGAAGCGGTTGAGGCAAGAAAGAATAAAAATACTAGCGTGGTGGCTATTACTAATTTGGAGGCCATGAGTAAAGTGAGTAGTCCGAAGAAACGGGACAATAAGTATCGACGGATTTGATACGAAAGTTTTCGGTGGGTGGCCAAGATTTTGAGATTTTGTCAATAAATTTCATGGATCTTGGCAATTAAAAATTTTTTGTTGGTTTTTAACAATACTAACAACCAAATAATTATTACTGTGTTACCGTGTTATTGTTATAAATTTTTAATATTGGAGAATATTTATTTTTACAGATAATTAACTTACCTTTTAAACTAGTACGGATTCTAAATGCTGTTTGTGATATTATAAAGGTTCTACTTTCCAATTCATTTTGAATTCCTAAAATATTTATTATAGTAAAATAAATATTTTTCTTAATAATTAACAGTACTAATTTTCATAAAAAAATTATATTTACCTAAATCTGTGTGGGACAAAACATTGTTGTGTAAATCTTTAACAATATTAATATTTTCTTGCAATATGCTTACCATATCACGAATCTTTTCCGCCTGAAAATTTTAAATACTATATTTTCTTTTTAAAAAAAAATGTGAATTTTAAAAACATCTCTCTAATGATGGAAAAATTAATTTGATCTAAAATTTCATACAAAAAAAAATTTCTGCTTGATTCAAGACAAAAAAATTCTTAAAAATTGTCTTCTTGATTCAAAATTTTTTTCATCACTATAGAGTATTACAAACAATGAGCTGCAATACTAACAGTTTGTTTATTTTTTTCTATCGCTCTGAATTTACAAATTTCATCGACATAAAATATTGAATTAAAAAAAAAAAATTAAAATATTTTTAATTATTAATTTTACTGTCAATTATTAAAACTGCCATCTGTTAGAATTGCAGCATGTCACTTGCTACATAATTCATAACTTACTTCATCTAACACATCTTTAACTTTTTTGTTAGAAAGCTTCTGGCTTATTTCTGGCAAAAAACTCTTGCAATCATTCCTTTTGTTCTAAAAAATAACAATTAAAGTAAAATAGATTAATGTATAATTACTTAATAATAACTTGAATTAACATAAAATAGTAACAAATAAATAAATAACTTGCACTAACAGCACACAATTCAGCTAAACGATCTCGAACCATGGTAGACAGTGTCAAAAAACTTAAAACTGACTTAAAAAATAAAATATTGGTATTTATACTTTTTCTTAATATTATTATAAGTCACTTTCTTATCAAGACACGTCTGGTTATCAATGATAATAATAATACACTGTTAAAACGAAGCAAACATTATCTTACTATCACATTTTTCACCGAGCGATCTTTATAACATGTAGAATAATATATACATATGATATGTACAGTTGATGTATATGTTACTAAAACGTCTTGTAAAGATACTTCTTATTACTTTAAGTTCCATCCACTTTTTAATGTCAACTACTTCGCTTTGAGAAACGAGAACACTTTGCATACATAATACAAAAGGAAATAAGTACTTGTCAGTTGGTTTCTGCAAGGCCGAATTTAATTTTTCGCCATTTAAAATTCATGCATCATCAGCTTTTTTTTTTATTTTATTATTTATTAACTATTACTATTTTTTTATACCACTCATTGTCACTTTGTACTTTAGATTGTTGTTAGTTATTATTTATGATGTTACATACATAAAAAGCTTTGAGTCCAAGAGAGCATTTAGAATTATTTTTTTATAACAAACAAAAAATAATTGAAAATGAATTTTTAATTTTAGCAAATAAATGATAAATCTTATGAATTAATTATTAAAACCGGATTATAATATTACAAGATTTAATATATACAAACGTTACCTTTTATAATATAAATATATATATATATTTTTAAAAACCTGTGATAGAATTATCAAATTAAAAATTGTACAAAATTTTTATCAAAAACAATTATTATTGTAATTAATTTGAATTATTTGTCAGATTTTAGACACAGAATAAACGAATTAACGATTATTAAGGCTTTGTAGTTATTTATTAAAATTCTGTAAATCTTAACAATAACAATTATTTATTAATTTATTAATCAACACATTAACAGTGTAGGAAGACTAAGAAAATAGTTGTTTTTATAAGTAATATACAGGAAACGATTACAACGTATTCTTTAATATATTATAATTACACTACACTAATTAATTAGTAGTCAAATAAAATTATTAAGATCACACTATCTCTTTTTTTTAATTATTAATTATAAATAAAAAATTACCTAAAATTTTCGATAGAATTGTTGATTTAAAATGCATATCAAGGCAAATTAGTCAGTCTTTTTATTCACATTATTATTAATCAAGACTGACTAAATATTAAAAAACCTGGACGGTACTAAATAATAATAATAATAATAATAGAAACTAAATAAATTTAATTAAGTAACTATAATTATTTAATTATTTGCATTGCTGCCGAATTATTAAAAATAATTTTCATTTATAAATATTTAATTATTTAAATAACTAGTAATTAAATATGTTAATTTTTATATAGTAATAATGCAACACCCGGCCATTTACCTCACCTATTAGTTCAAGGTAATTATTTGTGTAAAAATATTTTTATAAATATAGTACTAATTATTAACTAGAAGAAAAATAATTTGAAATACTGGATTGTTTCGTTAATTTTATCCACAAAAAAATAAATTCTACGTTAAAATTTTTTTGCTGTCAAAATAATATTATGTTTTAAAATAAACGCCTAAAATTGAAAAATTATATTTTGTACATTAATTTTAAAAATTTTATTATGAAACTAATTTTTAAATTGTTATTTTTTTTTCGTGATAAACTATGTCAAGTATTAAGTAATAATTAACGAGATGCAGTACGAGTGGTAATTTTATCCTTTAGATAATTAGCAACTTGAGTTTGCGAATGCCTGATAGCAACTTGAAGTGGTGTAACACCCTCTTGATTAACAAGCAGAGGATCAGCACCAGCTCCAACTAATTGCCTCGCGACCGTCATATGTCCAGTCAAGGCTGCTGCGTGCAATGGACTTTCACCGTTCTACAACCACATACAAACAATTATTAATTATAATGCGCCAGTAGATTCTCTTCCGGTCTACTAACTTTCAAACTTCAATCGACTTTTTTTTATTTTAAACTTTTACTTTAAATATATAAATATAAAAAGGTATTTCTTCAAATAAAAAAAAAAAATAAATGCTGGTCGCTTTTTATAGAAAAATTAATCGATGATAGGGGAGGAGTTTCATAAAAAACTTACTGGAAGAATACCAAGAGATGGTCGGTACTTTAACAACTCCCCGATGACCGCAGTATGACCTTTATGAGCGGCTTTGAAGAGCGGAGTGGCGCCGTCCTAAGTAAATACAAAAGTAAAAACAGCGTGTCATTGACTTGATGAATTGCAAGTAAAAAATGATGATAATAATAACAAAGTGTACTGGCTTACGTGTCTGGTAGCATCAACCTTGGCTCCGGCCTTCAAGAGTCTTCTTACGACATGATCGTGCCCCATTTGAGCGGCTATCCAGAGTGGAGTCGCTCCATCCGTTCTTGCTGCATCAGTTTTCGCCCCCTGAGATAGTAATATGTCTAATATTCGTATGTGACCATTCTGAGCTGCTATGAATAACGCTGTCGCACCGTCCTATAGTTAAAATAATAAATTAATATCAATAATAATACTCTAGGCATTATTATTGTGAAAAAAAAGAAACTTTACTTTTTAAATTAAAAATTTTAAAAGTTTTAGAAATATTTCCCAAGCATCAAAAAAAAATGTTGACTTTTTGGGAGATTTTATTTAACAAGAAGTCAAAAATTTATAATTGTCAATTTAAATTAAGGTAAAAGACTCAGTAAAATAAAACAAATCGACTCTAATAAATTAATAAATATAATTTTTTAATTATAAATTTTAAGATAAATAGTTTTTTAAGAACATTTTATTTTTTTAATTAGAATAAAATTGCAAGTGTCAATCAACTAGGCCAGTGTCAATAACTGGGTCTTTTACCTTAAATAAAATATCACCAAAAAATTTTTGTGCCGCTTAGGTTGTTGTATTTTACTTTTTTTACATTTTTGCACGACTCATTATGCAAAGTACTAGAGAGCGCTTTACAATAAAATTTTTTTCACCTCCTTTTTACAACTATTTTTATTATTACAGTCTGGTTAGTTCAATGAAGATTAATTCTGCAGTTTTTTTTTTTAATTTTTTAGTGTAATAACAACTAGAAATTCATTAAATATTTGTTCTCGGATAGCAAAAGAAAAATTTTCGTAACTTGGAAACACGATAACTCAAAAAAAAAAATTCACTATTTAGATTATTTTTTTTTCAATAGACTTGTTTTGTCCCTAAAAAATTTAGTATTTCAAATGGCTATCCAATTTTATGTTGTTTAATTATTATTAATGAAAAACTAAACGTATTCTTTTTGTTACCGTGCATAAAAGACACGGTAAATTTTGCTACGTATGCGCATGCGCGTTACAATAGCTGGAGCTGAGTTAATTCCAAAAAAATACCGCAAAATATTTGAAATAAAAATTATGAAAAATAATTTATAATAATAAATTTCTTTTCTTCTTTATTTTATTAATTAAAAATAGATTATATTTTTTGTTAAAAATTCTAAGTCATGCATTTTTGGATTTTCAAAATTTTTTTAAAGTTCTCAACAATAATTTAATTTAAAAAAACTACCTTCATATGAGCGTTTACATTTGCACCTTTTTCAATCAATTCCAGGACAACTTCCAAATGACCGCATTGACAGGCGACAAATAGCGGCGTTCCACCATCCTAAAAAAAAAAAAAAATTATCTCGGTAATTTTCACATCAAGAAATTATTATTATTATTTCATTAAAACAAAAAAAAAAAGATAGCAAATAAATCATACAATGCTGCAAGAATCTACGATGGCACCATGCTCGATGAGAAGTGTAACAATGTCCACGAAACCGCCTTGAGCAGCGAAAAATAAAGAAGTCGTTCCAGTCTGTAAAATAACGATGATTAATTACTTATATGAAGCAGTTAAGTATGTAAGTACTTATTATATTTATATACATGTATAATATGTATATACTCGGATAATCGAGTTCTGGCGGCTCTATCTGTTTCGGTTATTTTATTTTAGTCGAGTGCTCAAGTGTTAAATTGAGGCGTTAATACTTTTATTACATCGTATTGATAAAGAAGAGAACGTATAATACAAGCACTATATAATGAACAGAGCTGTACTTTTTTTTTAGTTTTAGTTTTCTTCTAGAATTATTTCTGTCTGCTGCTATACAACATTTAATCATAAATACTAATATATATATATATACATGAATAACATTAAGTTAAATGTAGTAAGCAATAAGTAATATGTAAAAAAATTTAATTAAGATTTAACTGTAATTTGAAATGAAAGTTTAGATATTTGCAAGATAATTAAAGTTAATTATTTATTTTATAAATTAGCTATTTAGTTTTAATTAAAAAAATTTCTATTATTATTTTTAATTTTAATTTTATTCTATTGAGATCAAGGTATCTTTTGTACATCTGTTATATTCTGTCATATATTTCGACTGTCAATAATAAAGTACTTAATTTATCTTCCAGTAATATATTTTACAAGAAGTAATATTTGTACAGCTAAAGCTAAGACTAAAGAATTGAGAGTAATGGTTTGTGGTGAATTATATGAAAAATGTGTTTTTTTTTAACTCAACCTTCAAGTCTCCAAGTATATTTATAGGCGGTTTATTTTCAGAGAACTCGTTGAGAAACTATCTAATCATAATTATAAATTATAAATTATTGTAGAAGAAAACAAAAGTATTTTAATTACTGGTTTTACAGGTAAAGAAATATTTATATGATTGCGGTTTTTACACCTTGTTAGTGTTCGCAATAGAGATTTATTTTACTTATATATATATAAAATATATATTCTACTCGTATTTCAAACCACTGAAATTCTAGATCACTCGATTTTATTTTATATCTATACTGAAAAAAAAAAAATTAACTTTAATCATGAGAAAAATTCTTGAAACAAGAAAAATTTCTTAGTTTAAGAATTTTTCTACTCAAATAAAAAAGATGAAATTCTTCAAAACTATTTACTTGATACAAGTAAATTTTTTTTCTGTGTACTTATTTATTTACATTATTATTATTAAAACTTTAATAATAATAATAAGAATCATAATTAATACAAATAAATAAATGAAACTATCTATACAGAAAACTAATTATATTATATACCTAAGGTAATTTTTATTTCAGAGAAGAAACAAGTTCATGTTCATGACTAATCAATTAAGCGGGTGATCCCAAGCAAGAATAACATAATCACCGGCTCAAGGAAATCTACCCGTTAATTATTTTTAAAAATTACATTAACACCTCTGCGTGTACAGTTCAATTTATTCTCACGCAAGTTCTTACACCGATTAGTTACATTACATTATATATTATGAAAAAGATAAATTATCAACTACAATTTTATTTAACAATAAATAAATAACAAATAAAATTGTAAATTTATATCTAACGATGACAAACAAACCAGTGCAAATCGATTTCACATTTATATTACGTAGAGTAAGTACTCCACTAGTACGTGCTTTTTATGCATCATACACCGCATAGATACTCAAGATCATGCAAATAATTGTCACGTTTATTTTTAACGTGTCTATGCTCTATATGCACCGTGTAATTTATATTTATAATAATATAACAACTACATTCAAATTCATAACAGTTAGAGTTAATATTTTATTCTACTTAAGTTTACTTTTTTCATTCAACTTTATATTATACAAACATTTATAAATATGTACGACATGCATCGCATGGATATAAATTACTTGTATTAAACCTTACTTTTGAATAAATAAAAATTTTTAACCCTTGTTATTTTAATAAAACTAAAAAATGTTATGTAAATTTTAGACTTGTTTATAATTTAATTTTTTAGTATTAAAAATAGAGATTTACTTTCAAGTGCACAGTATATATTTTATACAGTTAAAAAAAAAATTTAGTTACAATTTTTGGGTAATGATTTATACTTGATGGATTATCGAGTATGCGATAGTTATTTTTAAGTGATTAAATAATGAATTTAACGCTGGACGATCAAGTAAATTTTACGTAATTCCCGCTCACTGAGGTCAATGACATTAGCATGAGAGATTCAATCTGGAGAAATGAAACAACTACGGTACAAATATATATGTATACATATGAGAATGTTTCACGTCAAGTGCGGTGTCTTCAAGTATCATACGCCTTTTTAATTCAATATAAATGTCTTAAATTATACCTCTTTTAATTTGGGCTTTATAAATTTTTTATAAAGCGCTTTTTGATTTGTTAAATTTGAATGAATATGCTAATTTTAATTAAATGTCTGGAGCTTTTGTCATAGAATGAATTGAAATTTTGAATATGTAAGAATATGATATACACCTTACAATTAATAATAATTACATTTACATAGATAAAACGTTTTTTTAATTGTAATTATAAGTGAACTAGTTATTACATGGTATTGATAGCGATGATAGATAAGATATTATTAAATAATATATTAATAAATGTAAATTATTGCATATATTTTTATGTTAATGGATATTTTTTAAAAACATAATTTTTTTTTTGTCAACTTTTACTTTTTGGCAGATTAAATGTAAAAATGTTTTTGATTTCCAAAAAATCGAACTTCATTAAGATTTTAGAATGTAAAAAATCCTCAAAATAAAATTTTTTATTAACACAATAAAAAAATTGTATACTATTATTTTTATAAATTATTTTCTAGGTTGAATTATGACTTTAAATTATCTCTGTATTAAATAATCTATCTGTATTTTATTAAAATTTTTAATTTAATTTAATTGTAAACCTTTAATTAATTAAATAATCTTGTATTTGAGTTATATTATATACAAATGCAAACCAATATAAACCAATGTATCTTAAATAATGATAGCTCTGAGGGAGCTTAGGTTCCAGAGTCAAATAAAATTTTTTATCTATCTATACCACTTACAAATCGACATTTGTTACTAATAATAAATGACAGATAATTTTTACTAGATTATTATAGCCAATTAAATTTTTTTATAGCCAATTAAAATTCTCCAACAAATAATCATCAATGACAATAATACAAACTTATTTAAGAAATTGTACTATTTTATTTAAAACTTTTCTAAAATTTTTTAATATTGCAATTTTTTTCATAAAATTTTTAATGCTCGAAACAATTATCTTACAAGTGCATGTTCTATTTATCTCCGGTATTTTTACACTAAAGCTTTGCATTATGCAATCCACCCACAAGGTAACAAAAGAAAATCTTTCAACCAATGAAAAAAACTAGGTACAAAAGATAAAAAGTACTGGCGCTCTGTTCTCGTGACAAAAGGCGCACATATACCTACCAAAGCCAGTATACATATAGCACACACGTATATATGTATATATACATATATACATAGTACAGCGTAGCGTTTTCATTCATTGACCGTCCATTCATCGAGGACCCTAAACCCACACCAAGTAAGTAGCCCTGGGTCAAAACTTACCAGCCTTTTGGCATTCGGGTCCGCCCCTTGTTGTAATAGCTCGGTAACAGCTTCAATATGGCCCCCAGCAGCCGCTAATATGAGTGGGGTCGTCCCGTCCTAAAACAAACATACTCCTTTAATATTTAATACCAAAAAACACGTAAAATATTTGCAAATCTAATCTAATAAAATGTAAAATAAACTAGCGTTCAATCAACATAAAATTACAGAAGATTGATCATCATCAACTTCAACTAGAGTCATAAACTAGAGGTTTATCGTTAAGTAAAATACGCAAGTCTATAAATGCGATAGATTAAAATTAGAGTTAAATAAATTTCCTCAAGTTTTAATTACAATGTTAAATTGAATTGCTGAGCTTGTTATGACGTCATACATGTTGTATTATTGCACTCTGTACTGTTGCTAGTTACTGGTGGTTACATGCTACATCTATTATGTATTACTTATGTATTAGATAAGTTATACACACTGCAGAATGATTTATTATGCAATTTATGAACTTTTATGCATGCATACGTTTAGGTTTTATTTTATCGCTAAAAGTGCGGCACCGCGTTAAATACTGACCTTGTCTTTACAATCGACATGAACGCGTCCCGAGTCTAAGAGAACTTGAAGTCGTTTCGCATCACCGCGAGCCGCTGAAAGATGCAATTCTACATCCCACGGCGATTCTTTCTAAAAAAAGATCGAAAAGTTTATTTCGTTTCATTTTACTTCAGTACAATAGCCGCTAAACTATCTTTGATAGCATGTAAATTTAAAAGTTAATCATCTTGATAAATTTAAATTAATTAAATTCAACAGATTGAATTTTTATTTCGATCTCGATACGAACTTTGTTATTGAATTTCAGAATTTAATTATTAACAAGTAACTGCCGAGATTTATAAATTATGATAAAATAAAATTTAAGTTCAATGATTTTTTTTTTTTATATTTTTTTTCATAATATCCATAATTTAGGTACTTTTTAAATAAATAAAAAAAATAATTTTGCTATGATAGGATTAATTATCAAAATTTTAATGGAAAATATTTTACGGAACTAGTTTATAAAATTATTCAAAACTCTCTCAAAAAATTAACATAAAAAATTGACTGTCATCGATAAATATACATACAAACAATGAAAAGGCTTAAATTCAGGTCAAGACCTTTCTGTTGATACCAAATTTACCTGTAGAAGTCTATTAAATAATAAAGATACGCTCGTCAAAATTTTTTTCTCATGCTCTTAATTATAAAGATCATTAATTTCAAATTAAATTTATCAATCATATTAACATTTGTTTTTTATAATAATAAATTTGTCTTATCTATTTATAATAAAATGATTAGTCTAATTTTTATAATTACACAGTTAAATGTTATTAAAAAAACAGTAAACTTATTGATAAGATTATCTATTGCGTTTTATAAATAGTTTTCATTATAATATATACCGTATCAATTATAACTTATAAATGATTAAAAAAAATAAAATCTCTTAGCTTAAAATTTTTAACGAAAATCTAATCAAAATTTTTATGATTCATAAATAGTATTGACATTTAATAATTAGTATATAGTATTTAACATAAAATCAAAAAGGTCAAAATATGTTAATCACAATAACTTATTATTATAGTTGGATTAGTATTAATGTCAAGCAAATTTGCGGCGTCTAAAAAATTAAAACTTTTATTCTTGATGCAGAAAAAAGTTGACATGTGATATTCAAGTTTTTTTCTGTTGATAATTATTATAAATAAAAATAACTGTAAGTGCAAAAATAAAATTTAAAAAAATGACAAGTTTCAAAGTATATTTTTATAATATGGGTAAAAAAAAATGTCTCTCAACTTCAGTATCATTATTTATAGATTTATATGACCTGAAAAAAAAAAAAAAAAAAAAAAAAAAAAAATAAGTATCATTGTTAATAAAAAAGTAATTCGTATTACCACTTATGTAAATTTGTATGCGTAATAATTCAAAAAAATCTAAAATGTAAAGCTTGTATTGTTAAATGCTTTTGACATGTTAACACGTGTTTTGAAGTATTATTTACGAGTTGTCAATGACATGACCTCGATATTTTTTTGTATACAAATAAAATTATTGCTAAATGGAAGTAACGTCTAGCACACATAATTAAAATTTACATTAATTTTTTATAACAATAAAAAAAATTTACCTTCATAGACATATTGACAGTGAATTTTTGATGGAACAGATTATTTAACAAGCAAAAATTTTTTTTTAATAAAAATTGTAATTTTTAACGACACATTGTCATGCACTGACACGCTTGATCCTGTGCAAAATGTTTGTATTATAAAAATTCTTAAACATTATTGTTTAATAATTACTTTCTGTGAATATTATCAAATTTTGGTCTAAAAAATAAAAGTGATTAACAATAAATTTGTCTTTATTGATGAGATTCATTTTTAGTCACTCAGAACATACTCGTTTCTCGAAAATTTAACTTCTCTAGTGACATGAGAAACACAGACACTCAACCGTCGGATGACTTCGTGTCACTGAATTATGCTCGATACGTTCTGATGCTCATGAGCCGAGAGACTTTTTTTACTTTATTTTATTTTTTTTTTTTTTTTTTTACATTGACGTGATCACACACGTTAATATCTCGTTGATTAGCTTTGTTTGCGTTCCTAAAGCTAGCGCCACCGTCTTATAAATATTCTGCTTTATCTTTTGGCGCTTTTTCTTTTAAAAACCGCGCAAATTTTAAAATCAAGAAAATCTGGAATATCTCATATTTTTGTATTAATATGTAAATATAAATACAAAATAAATATAAATATCTAAATATAAATATAATAAATAAATAAATATAATTTATTATGTTTTTTTTACAATTTACATAAGTATTTTATTAATAATTTATATGATACATTTTATAATACGAATGTTGGTATTATCATAATAAATAAAAATTATGATAGTTTAATAAATATTATAAATCAATAAGTTATATATACATTTTGATGTAAATATCAATACATTTATTTCAAAAATTAAATTATTTTTAATAATATTTCTGTCCTACCTTCAGTAATATCATTTCTATTTTTTAACTAAGTATCATCGGGTAAATTAAAACCTAAAGAAGTAAATCAGTAATTAATAAATCAACTCATTTGGAATTTTTAAACAAAAATTCAATTAGTATAAATAATAATTTATGAATACTGCCAACATTCAATTTAATGGAGTTTAAATTGAATTTGTAATTTAATTAAAATGAAATAATTGGTTTGCGCGTTTCAAACACGGTAACTGAGATTTTTTAGATTTTTTCAAATTTGTTTTACTAAAAAAAAAAAAAATAAATACTCTAGATAAATAAAATTTTTTTTTAAACAATAGAAAATATATTAACGAAAACATTTTGAACAAAAAAAACATGAGATCGCTTACTTGAAATACAAAAAAAATGTAACAATATAAAAAAACAGGAATAAAAATTGAGCAGTTACTATGTTTTAAAATAGGACTGCCATAATTTAACTGATGACACACTCAGCATCAGCATAACGAAGAAAGTAATGAAGTAAACAATCTTCATGATTATTTCTTCTTTGCAGTCTCGAATTACGTTATACTTGTCAAGAATAACCCTGATAAGAAAAAAATATTGAAAAGTATTAGTTTTCTAGTCAATCCAATACTTTTCAATACTTTTTTCTTTGTCTCAATACTTTTTTTTATTCAGGGAAGCTTCGTAATGATATGAAGACTTTTACAGCGGGCTTATAAAGGGAGAAAAAATCAGATATAACGTCACAATCATGTCATGATTTTGCTTAAGGCCATTATTGTTTCAACAGGTGTTGATTTATCTGATTTTTATCATGCAAGATTGTTGTAAGTAATAATTGGTAACTTATACAAATATAACCTTTACCTCATTTTCATGAATCATCATCATTTGTATTACAAAAACAATTCGTGGCAATATCACTATCGTTAAAAAGTTATGGACACGTATGTTGCATGAAAAACTGATAAAATTATGACGAGCGTTAATATCACCAAACAAAATTTTACAATAGTTTAATTATATTTTTTAACTAATAAATAATTATATTTTTTACTTAATAAATCATTTTTAATTCGAAAAAAAATTTTCTGCATATTAAGCTTTTAAACAATTTTATAGTAAGAAATAGGTACATGATACTGATAATAATTAAATTATACTAAAAAAATTATTGTTAAAAAAATGGTTTTTTACAATAATTGTTTTGTTATAAAATTTAAAGAATTTGTTAGAAGTATGCTAATTACAGCATTATCGAAGTATCACAAAAGCTTAATATTACTTATCAAATGTCTAATATTTTTAATGTATTTTCTTGGAAAAAGGGACGAATCATACGATGTTGATGATGATGATGATGATGATGATGATGATGATGATGATAACCCGCCATTAAATCGGGGGGTATTTTGTTCGAAGATATTAACGCACGTAGGCGTATGTAATACTTAAAATCAAAATACGATAATACATATCGATTGTAACTATATTGATAATCAGAATCACATTGGCCCGCTTTTTTAAAAAATTGTGTTGTCGCAAAACTAAAACATCTATAATTAGTCACATTATCAACAAAATCTGATCTACGACTGATAATTTTAATTATTTTCTATCATTGTTCTACATAAATTATTAATTTAAAAATAATAGATGATTAACTAGCAATTATAAACAAAACAACCCAATTAACTACTGTTAAAATTTTTTGCTAAAACATATAATCTAATTGTAATTTAAATCTTTCCAGTAACTTATACTGCCATCTATGGAGTTTATAAAAAATCACTTTGGCGCTGCTGAGAAAAATCGACGCGTATCCTCTACGCTAACCCCGGATTCTTGGATTCTTTCTTTTGAGACTCGACTTTATAGAGTGTCCATTGTGAGTAAATTTTATAAAAAATAATCTAAATAACTATATTTATCACAGTAAATAATTAAATTATTGACGTTAAATCCTTTGTTTTTATTTTTTAGGTAAATAACATGGAAAACGACCAAAAAGAATTCGTTGATCTTTACTGGCCGAGGAAATGGTTAGTAACACGTGTTTTCCGTCAATAAATATGTTTTAAATAATAATTATTATCAACAATTTATAGTATTTATCATTGTTACTCATTACTATTTAGTTAACTCTGATTTTACGACTAAGTTATTTTTTTATTAGTGAATTTTTTTGAATATTTATTTAAAAAGAATTTGAGGTTAGAATTTTTAGTTGGCGGTTCAGAATACAATCATTTTTTTATTATAATTATTAGTTGTCAGTAGCTCTTAATAAATTTGCAATTAATTAGTTATTTTAACCGTTTGTATAATCATTGATTATTTTTTTGACAGCTCCTCGAGCAACAGAATTATTCATGCTAAAGACCATGCATCTATCCAACTGACTTTGGCTGATGTTGATCCCATAACTGGACGTATGACTGATACACACAAGATGTACGCAGTTTGTGGATCTATCCGTCGTATGGTAATTATTTTTAATAAATATTTTATTACTTCTTTTAATCGTTGAATATAAAATTTCTAATTTTATTAATAATTAAATCTGCTTACAGGGTGAATCTGATGACTGCATCGTTCGATTGGCCAAAAAAGATGGAATTATTGCTAAAAATTATTAATTTATCTCACCCATTTGATAATTTTTCTTAATGAAAAAATAAAGATCAACAAAAACTTAATTATCTTTGTTTTACTCTCATTTAAGCAAATCCCTATTCATTGAAAAATTTTTTAGATACAAACAATATAATAATTAGATTTAAACATTAAGTATGTAACATATTGTGCACTTGATAGATACAACTCAATGTAAATTAAATGAATTTAATATTTCATAAATATATACATCAATAATCAACATATAACAAAAAAATTATGCATTGAGTTAAAAATAGTGGTAATTACAATTGCTCAAGACCGTCGATATAAAAATAAAACTCGTCTAGAAAATACAATATTTGTGAAAATAAATTGAATTACATTTTATAATTTAATTACTTAAAAAGTATTGAAAAAAAAATTTTTTTTATAAATTTATTTAAAATCTGAGGCTCATGGAAAACTAGTTTAGATTTTTATCTTATCATTGCAGTTATCATATATTTATACTTAAAAATTGATAAAGAAAGTCAAAGAATTTAAATAATACGATATTAAAAAAAAAAATATTTTTAAATCTTTTAGTTTCTCAAATAAAATCAATCACTTATTACTTTTTTTTCATCAATGATCATATTACCCTGAGTATTCACGCAAGTAAAAATTTTGAAAAAATGTAATTTTTATTACTAACACTGCCCCATTAAATTGACAATTCACAATACTTAATATTAAAATATAAAAAATGCTAAATAATTTAATTATTTACTAGATAATATTCCTATTTTTGATTGCAATCGAGCTAATTCATTGCATGCATTACGATCAATGTAACCTTATACAAAGTTTATCAAAAAATCTCTCAATAATTTTTCCGTTTCTTTAAAATTATCAATTCTTCACTCTATACATGTAGAACGGGCGTATCAGACAATGAATGTACTCGGTTAAATCTTCTATTGCGAAGTGTTGCAATAGCTTCACTTAAATTAGCACGTTTGCTAAAAAATTCAGTTATGGGTGCACCATTTAATGCCGAAGCGAGAAATTGCTCGACAGTTATTGACCAGTCTGGATCTGCTGATGAGATACTCGTCGAGGGGTTTCCATTACGGTCTGGAGACTGATAAAAAAATCAATTATTTTAATTATATTTAAAAAATAGAATATGGAAATTTTATCACCCAAAATGAAGTTATAGATAAAACTTACTCTTTCAATTCGAGTCGCTTTTGTTTGACTATCAGCAGCTAGTAATAAGCTATCCTCAGATTCTTCACGATCAACATAAAATTTTTTACCAACATCTCCTAGCTGCAGCAATAACGTACCTAATCAAATAATTTTTTTATTAATTAAATTGAATGTTATAAAATTTTACGATAAAAGTATAATAAAAAATTATCGTGGCTTTGAGTCAAATGATAAATATAAAAATGTATGAGGATCCACAGTTTTTTGACCATAAAATATCAAAAAATTAAGCTATTCAAGTATTTTGTTTTTTGTTACAGTAGGTTTATGAATATGGTTTGGAAAATTAAAAAAAAAAAAATTTAAGAGGTTTTTGACGATTTTTGAAATTTAAAAAAATTTGGAGCGACCTCTTAAAAATTTTTTTTTAAGTTGTCCTTTGAAGAGAGCTCTTAAAACATCAAAAACTAATATTTTTTCATTCGAGACTAAAAAAAAAAAATAGTCGGTTTTTTTACGCTACCCTAATATATATATATATAGAATTTTGTAAGCTTATAACGAATGATTCGTAAAAAAATATTCGTCAATAACTCAATTTTTTGTGTTTTATGGCCAAAAAACGATGAAGCTTCACTTCTATATAATTACCCAATTACCATTACCAATTAAATATTAAAATCAAGGAACTAAAAAATTGGTGGATATTTACTATCTGATATCATAAAATTACCAATTGATGCAATTGAATGATAAATATCTTGGTCTTCCGGCTGCGTGGGAAACATGTCATAAAGAGTTTTCCAAAGCGCAATAAAGTGCCTCTGGGACATTTTCGGAACATTTCTCAGCTCCAAAGGACTTTCTTTAGAATCTAGCATTGACCTCAAGCTTCCCATACTCTGACTTTCCCAAAACTGATCACCTTGTTGACTATTGAGGCTAATCGAGCGTGACAATCCACTAGGAGACGGCTCCTCGGCGAGACTAACTGACAAATCTAACGAGGCAACACTCTGTTCCATGGTATCAAAAAAATCCGTAGCCTCAGCAGCTATTTCAGCACCATCAGAGTGCGTAGGCGAATCTATGTCGACTGGGGTCAACAGGGGCGGTAAATGGAGTGTGTAAAGTAATTTCAATCGTTGAGCAGCATCAGCAGTCGCGGTGATACCAATAGCCTGTACAGTTTCACGGAAATTTAGATACCCATCATGATTGCGATCCATCAGACGGAACAATCTCGCAGCGAGCGATTCAGCCTGCGAACACTTTCCCCAGGGTGATAAACCGCCAAAGAGGATTCGAAATAGCTCAAAGTCAACTTTGTATGCCTCGTAAGGCGGCTGGGTCGGATCGTATCTCTCAGGCTCGGATTTACGTTGACTCATCAACTCTTCCCGGACTAAACTAAGCAGCTCTTGTAGCTCCTCGCTCGTCATAAATTTATCTACAACGACGCTTCTTATCACATTTTTCTCTATACCTTCTTCTAAATGCTGAACGACGCGCAATCTGTGCTTCAATCTCAGTCGCTCTATCCTGCCGATTGACAGCGTCCCGTATCGTGAATACGATTCGAATATCAAAGTCTGGACTGATATACTTCTTGGGGGAACAGCGCTGTCAACTGGTCGTGGCAAAACAGGCCCCTCGTCATTGTAAACTCCACCGAGATAGTCAGTCAGCAATTGCATGGCTTCTCCGTCATCGCGACACTCCAGCAATTTATCTTGATTCCACTCCAGCACCATGAGCGCTATCTGGAATATTACTTTAGCACCGTCGTAGAAGAAACAGTCCATTATGTTTACTGCGCTGCTTGTTGGCATCACACTTAGAAATATTGTCAAAAACCATGACAGCGATATCACTCGTATTAAGCCAAGTTCTTGAAGTTTCGCGTGAAGAGTTGGTAACTGCTCGGCGGCTAATTCTTCCAAAAGCCCTTGGTCTACTAAAGCACCTACTACTCGTCTGTCGTAGTAGTCAGGAAGTAAAGATTCACAGACGTTACATAGTTGCCAAAAGGCTGATTCTTCTGAGCAATAGATCAGTAGAACTGACGCTACGATGTTCATCGCTTGACAGTATCCTATTGGATTATTTAAAATATAAAATTATTCATTGATTTATTAAAAAATTATACGCACTTAGAATTAACAAAAAAATTCATTTTTTAATTTACATATAAGGTAAAAGACCCAGTTATTGACACTGGCCTAGTTGTTTGACACTTGCAATTTTATTCTAATTGAAAAAATGAAATGTTTTCAAAAAACCAATTATCTTAAAATTTATAATTCAAAAATTGGTCTTCTACGTGCATATAATCCTTTTTTGATAAAAAAAAAATTTTTTTTTTACCTATTTGAGGATTTCTACAGGCGTAAGCAGACAATACTCGTCTCAAAGCGCTTATTCCTGTATCAGATTGAAAAGCTGGATGCTCTGGTAACGATCGATGTAAATCACGTTCTATTTCTTCGTTAGCTTGACACGATTTCCCAAGCGATTGATTCACTAACGATTGATACAAACCAGGATTCATCGCCATCTCATTAATAGCGCCGGAAAATGTCAACCAAACTTCACCGCGAAGAGTTTGTGGTACACCTTGAATCACCAGTTTCGCGGTTTCTACAGTCCGATAAATAGTTATCCCACGGCCGTACTCAGCAAAATGCAATTCCCATTGTTTTTCTTTAGACTCTTGCTTTACAGCAGCTTCTATACTCAACGGCGCTTTGAATAGTGTCATCAGTGGTGGCTGTGGTGACCAACTATTTTTTTTATCGTTTTCCTCCTTTGATTGATAATGCGATACATGATTCGAACTCCTATAAAAACTATTTCTTATTTTCTAATTTAATTGTTAAATGATTGTTTAAAAATTTTTGTTTTATTTTATATATTTGTGTCACTTACAATTGAACTGACTTAGTTTTGGCCAAGAGTTCCGATATTTTTTGGACGACAAAATCACGATCGTGAATTTGAGCAAATAAAAATGATGAACGAGGTGTCGTCACGAGAATTGATTTGTCCGTTGATGTCGATGAGTTTGGTGATTGATCCGCTGGTTCGACTAGTCTTACTTCACGTAATGGAATTACTAGGCTTACTAATTGTCTTACCTAATTATAAATATAATTATTTTTAATTAATTAAAAAATGTATATATATTTTTTAATTTTATTTAATTAATAAATATTTTTTATGACTAATAATTTCGGGAATTTTAATTAAAAATAAATTCTAAAACACCTTTTTAATACCATTATATAATAATATTAAATTAAATAATAAAAAATACTTACACGACTTTCAAAACAAAGGTAATTTTGTGATAAAAAAATTTTCCCCCAGACATGACGTTTATTATACGGTGTCCACAAAGTTGCGTCAATACTACCATCTAATTTTTCGTTTCCGGGTAATCTAAACTGTAATCTATATGACTCGGAATGTGCTCTTGCATCAAGATCACGTTTTAAAAATGAAGGCTTCTTCGGTACATTTTTACTGTTTTAAAATAAATAAATAAAATATAAATACTTTATTAAATATAAAATTTTTAGGCTCATAAGAATACCTTAATTTATTTAACAATTCTCTGTCTTCATTAAAACCACTCTTTTCATCAATCAGACTAAAAAATAAAAAAATATTTACAGATTAATAATAGATAAAAAAAATAAAATTATTAAAGATTAAGGATTTATTTATACCGTTTCATTGCAATATTCGTAAGTTGCTCCATCAACGAGTAGGTCTCAGATTTATGCAAAAACATTGAAAAATAATGCTCTTTATTGTCTCGCGTTACGACACGAATACTGTCAGGAAATACTAAAGAATTAGTCTTGTCCAAAGCAATAATATCAGCCCATCTTATTATTAATTTTGTTTCCTTAGCAAGTATATATGCGTAAAAACATAATTGGTTAACTGATAAATACAGCCACCCTTGTCGAGGTAATTTAGCTTTCCAATAACTACATGAGTAGTAATTAACAAGCTTGTCTTCACTCGGTAAATTAAACAGTTGGTGAAATTTGTATGACGCTGTTTTGAATGACTGTGGATCTTCTTCTATAATTAATTAAAAAAAAAAATTTACATATACAAAAAAGCGATAATTATAAAATTATTTCTTAGTAAAATTTGATTACCTTCTGCAAACTGACAATCTGGCACATTATTAGCAATAATAGACTGGATTTTACAACAAACAAACTCAGTTATTTCTTCCTCGCTATCAAAACTCTTCAAGGTGTCCATAAGGTTCGAATGTAACCAGTCCCAATTCTGCAATATTTCTTCATGTGTCAAGGAACATGCGACAGCTGAAATAAATATTTATTTATTTTTTTATCCTCCAGACACCGTCGAGATTAAAGTTATTTTTATTTTCACCAGAGCAGCTGTCGTATAAAAATATTATTGATAGACTATCTATTCGTTATCAAATGATAAAAAAAAAACAATGGATTGTTAATGACTTTTATTACCGTTAAATATAAATGATTAACATCAATAAATTTTAAATACTAATTTAAATACCCCAATAGACTTCTGAAGACGGTGTTTGGTGGAGTATTCTAAAAGGCGGTGGTTTTGTGTCGAAAACACTGTCAATCGTTCCCACCAATATTGACGACAGTCCTTTACTTTTTCCATGTCCTTTACGCCGTTGTAATACAAAATAAACTGTTGCTTTCTCTGTGACCCTGAAAATATTAAAATTTTATTTTATTAGTAGTTAAATCTTAGCAATAAAATTAAATTTTTTCTTAAACTCTATTTTATTATTTTGCATTTTGTACCAAATAAAATTATATTAAAAAATTCTTTATAGATTTTTGAAATAAATTTTTTTAATGCAACACCGTTAATCTGAATTTTATATAGTGATTTATAAAATTAATTGTATGTTAAAAATAAAGTAAATGAAAATATACTTTTAAAATTTACAATTACCCAGAAGATAAGACCTGACAATTAATAATTAATTACTATTAGACATCATTAAAGCAGTGGAAATGAAAAAATAAAGTCCTTGAACTCTAATAATAAGCTGGTATAAAAAATAAATAATAATTGATTCACAAAACAATATTAAGTTGGAATTGTTAATCTAATAGTAATAAATGATAAAAAAAAAAAATTGTTGATAAAATGACGGAGAGTTCTTCCGTGATTTGGAGTTCAAATGTATGTAATAAGAACTATAAGTAATGTATAATAATTTATTTCGTAACACCCAACGAGACTTATCAGCAATAAAAGAATAAAAAAATGTTAACAAGTGATTTTATAACATAGTCAACTGAAGAAATGTCGATTGGTGAAAAAAAAATGAAAATAAATCTGGAAAGAAAAAAATATTGAAAAATTGTGGTCAGCTGTATTTGACAGCTGATAATGAGAGATGGCAATGTAAACAGTTTGAAATTATGCTAATGATATGTTATGATAAATAATAATGAAATGTATATTATGTTACTTATAAGTATGTACAATTGAATTATTTTATTTAATATTATTTTTTACCAAAATGCATTTGCAAGTAATACTTCTTGTGGTTTTATCCACATATTGTCGGGGATTAGTACAGCATATATGTCACTAACACATTCCTTGCCAGTTTATTTATTTTGTTATATACTATTTATTAAAATCAACTGCTTGTAAGAGAGAACTATTCTATTCGATAAAAAAAAACACAGTATTTATTTATAATACTTCACGAATGTGTACAGTAAACCAGCGCGAACTGTACAACAAGTTTTTACTCAAGATTTATCTTGACAGTGCTGCCAACTTAGTAATATTTTTTTTTTAAGTTCATATCTCTACAATAATAATAATAACCAAACGCTGATGCCAGAGAGTATATAAGATAATTAAAATATAGGTAAAATATACTTAATTAAAGTCTATAGGACAAAATTGACAGCCCGAGATTTTGGATTTTGTTAACTTGAGAACATTTGCCAGTGCATGGTTACAATGTTTGTTCCGTAAAACTTTAAACTAATTTCTTGTACGGTTCAAAATCTTATTATTTATATAATTTACTAGATTAAAGTTAGCAGTCACTTCACAATTTTTTAATTTTATTTAACAAAAAAATTTGTTCCGAAAAATGATTTTTAAAAAATTGCATTTTTAATTTTTTTAAATTTCTACATGTCAATTTTTTTCTAATTTTTTTTTTGCTATAATTTATTTGTAATAAAATTCTTAAAATTAGTAAATATATGCTAAATTAATTTTCATATATAATTTATGTTATTTAATATTGTGTTTTGATGAAAATTAACTATTTTTTACAAATATTTGTTAGACAAAAAAATGCATGAGTTAAGTTCTTATATTACTTTAGACTTTGTACATTGTTCTGTATATTTTTTAAATATTTTCTTGTAAATTTAAATGTTTAAAATTATCAATATTAAAAATTCAACTGTAAATTATTATATTTTAATTTTTTTAAGACCATATCAATTTTGATGATATATGCAATTGTTTAGGTAAAATAATAAATTTTCAATTTTAGCATTTGCGTACTCCAGAACCGCTGCATATTAGGGACTAAAACTTTTAGGGAATTGTTTTCTTATTATAGAGAACACCTCCACAAATTTTGAACATAATCAGCAAAAGTCATCCTGTAAAAATGTACTTATTTGGTGGAATGACCCATAGTTATTACTTAATACAAACAATCATTTTCAATTAAAAAATAATAATACTAAAATTGATTTCAGAAATCAATGTAATCGAAGAGTTGTTCGATTAACCAGACTACAACTTCAGCAACATGGTTTTTATCCAGGATCAAGCATTTCCTAGTTCTCATTACACACCTCTTTTAATCGTGGCCGTGGAGAAGAACGACGAGGAATTAATAGACTATTTGCTTAATCGAAAAGCCAATCTAGTTGACGGTTCACCTTATGAGAATGAAAATCCTTTATTTATAGCAGCCGTAAACGGAGACACCAAAGTGTTCAAAGAATTGTATCACCTGGGGTGCTGATATTCATTTAAAATCTAAAATACGTTTGTCACCGTTAATGATGGCCGCTCGCTTTGGACACTTCGAAATCATAAAGTTCCTGATTGAACAGGGCTTAGATGTGAATATAACCGAACGAAAATGTGGCTCTAGCATATTGCACCACGCTGCTGCTAGTCCAAACTATAAATTAGTGAAATTTTTGCTGGATAATAACGCGAAAATTGACGCCAAGAAGCGTAATGGTGAAACTCCAATCTTGTGTGCTATCTCCAACACAAGAATCAACATTGTCAAGTTATTAATTGCGAGAGGAGCTGATATTAACACCGGTCAGGGCTCTATTAAAAGATCGGTGTTAATTTTCGTCACTTTTAAAAAAATCGACTTTTTTCGACGATTTGAGACAGATAATTCTTCATTATAAATTGTCAAGCTTCGATACCTGCGCTAAAAGTTGTAGCATTATTCTTAATGTTAGCTTTGACGTTAAAGTTCAAGATTCTGACAGTCAATTTGATTGTGAGAGTATCATTGAATCGCTCATTGTCACGTTAACATCAGCCGGTTTAACAGTTTGTGAGGGAAATCGACAAGCTGGTGAAAAAGGCTACTACGATGATTTCACAAAAACGTGTCTCGAAGAGCTTCAAAAAATGAAAGTTAATAAAGTCGGTGTGAGTAATATAACATTTTTTAACGTTTTACATATGAGTTTTCATTATTTAGCGATTCGATTAAAGTTTGCGAGCTTAGATCAAGTTATTAATGAAAGAAAATTAAACATTGCGTATCCGACGTACGGAGTAAGACTTTTTCAGAAATTGTCTAAGGTTCAGCGAAGAATAAAATACTTGGAAGAAGTCGAAGAATTTGTTGGAGGAATGTTATGGGATTTAGGACTTCCGTCGACTTTTATAAGAGAATTATGGTACTATTTTACCAATGTACAGTTGAAGAAAATAATCTTTCATAAAAACGATGATTTGAGTATGCTTTTCAAAGATTTCATAGAAATCTAACTATTGCATTTAAAAATAATTTTTTAATTATTTACGTAGAAAATTTGCAAATCAATCGTTGAAAATCGAAAAGGTAAATGAATAAACACATAATTAATTCAAGTAATGATTTTTATTGAAATATAAGGAATCTGTACCAGACAGAACTAAAATTACTGATGGATTTGGTACTACTGGGGTTCATATATATCACATATAATGTATATATATATATACCTTGCGTAGTCACTTGCGATATTTTTCGCTTCTGTTATCAACTTTTCATCATATATATGTAATAATAATGAAATTATTTTTCATTAATTGTTTTGTTTCTTCAATAAGTACAGAAAAAAATATCCAAGGTACGCGCACAGTCTATTTCAAAATCTAAATCTAAAAAAATTTTTTTTCAGAATTATACAACATAATGTGATAGTTTCGTTTAACTACTTATCTTTTTTTTTTTTTTTCATTTTATTTTTTATGTACAAAGTTTATAATAAAAAAAAAATTAATTATCTTTTTTGCAACTACTCTCGATTTTATCTACCCTCACTTATAATTACAATAAGGAATATGAGAATTTCATTCATAACTTATTTACACTTTATATACAATTTATCATTTTTTTAAATGTACAATATTATAAATTATACATTAAAACAGTTGCTTGATTTTCTTTAATCGTTAATTATCTCTGTACAATCCACTGTTTTATAATTATTTACTTGACAATAGATGACAATTATTTACATTAGATTCTTATGTATATCTTTATGTATAATATATATTAATTAATTTTTTATTTATTACTTTTTACATGTAAATAATTGTCGTTACTTAATCATAACACGAGGAAAAAAGATTAAAAAAAAAAAGTAAAAATAAAAATAATAAAATGAAATAAATGATAAATCTTCGTTTCAATAAATTCTATTACGAACCTTAGAAAATTCAATAGTTCTAAAATTATAAATTATAAAAATAAGTTTGTAATTAAATAAATTTTTCTCGTGTTAGATGACGTAGATTGATATTAATTTTCGAAGTTGATAATTTTAAAACTTGTCTAAAAATTTACAAATTCAAAATACGATTTTTATCTATACAAATCATTTAGTAAAATTGTTAACAGTGAAATATTTTTATAAAATAAAACTTTTTTTGATTAATGTTGGACTTTTTACACAATTTTACAAAATATTTTTTCATTGATACTTTCATCGACTTTCCATAGTCTAATTATAAATTATAAAAAAAAAAAAAAAAAATCTATAAGCTTCAGAAAAAAGTATTCCAAAAATAAATGCATTAGTAAATTATAATGAAAAAAGTGTAAAAATCATCAACTTCTGGTATTAGAGATTAATAATTAAATTACAATATATACTGATAAATCTAAAACCTTGCAATAATAAATAAGCAGTATGCATAGTTGCTTTTTGTTTTGTTAGCATGTAAAATATTTATCTATAATCATCTATATCACGGATTCACTGGTTCTGCATGTGTATATTACACTTTTTATAAATAAAATAGCAATAATTATAAACATAATAATAATAATAATAATAATAATAATAATAATCTGAATATATATTTGATAACAATTTGGTTATTGTATCTTAAAACATTAAGATTCGCTTAATAATAAAAATTTTATGAAGACTTATATTCTGATCACAACGATCAATAAATCAGTTAAATTAATAACAATATAAAGAAATAAATAATTATTTTTATTACAATAATTATTAGTTTTATTTTTTTTTAAGCTTCTACGCCGTTTGTCGCTTCAACTACTGAACAAAACAAAACTGAATTGTGCAATATAAAAATTGTTTAAAAATAAACATAACGTAATTAAAAGAAACAATTAATACGTTTTTATTATTTTAATTATCGCTCCTTTATCTCAAATTCTTCTAATTCAAAAAAAACACTAACAAACTTTAATAAGTGAAGAAAATAACTTGAATTATTTTTAAAAAATATACAAACGATAACTATTTTTCATTTAACATATATTTAGACGGATACCGTTTAAATTTTAACAAAAAAAAAAATCACTATTGATTATACGAATAAAATCAACGCATCCGACTCCTAATTTACGAATAAATCTATTAGCTGGTTATTTAATTGAAACCAATTGAATAGTTATCCTTCTTAACAGCCCAAATAATAATTAGAAAATTACATTAATAATTTACCCGTTTAAAGAAAATTGTTTCAACTGTTAAAAAAAAACTTAAAAATATTTTTACAATAATAGTAATATTAATAGTAAATACAATTGATAATTTTATAAATTACAATCTATATTTACCAAATCACCCGCCTCTAAAGACTAACAAGCTTACAGATATTTACAGTTCTGATTAAACCAGGTCTCCAATCACTTAAACCAAGTGAAAAAATTGTGTAAAACAATTACATACTTCGTTAATATCTGGCCACATATTTATTACAATACTTAAATCAATTGACAAAATAAATAGTAATATTATTATTATTTTATCATAGCCGTCACTTTGTTCAATGATCAAGTATATCTGTGTGAAAATAATTTATATTTACAATAAGACTGTATCTTTAACTATATTTATTAATTATTTTGTTTTTTTTTTTCTCAGTTAATAAATATCGCTCTTAGGATCTCGTTCACGAAAAAATCCTTTTTCAGTCTTGCATTCCCTGATAGTCACGGTTTTTAAATTAACCGTAACGTCAGTAATAAATACCTGATCAGCAACGGGGTTTCTCGCGTGCCAGTAATCAGTACCCGGACTACTCAATGGAATATACAAATCTGATTTTATTATGTCCGGTTGTTTCATACTCATAATATTATTATTATTATTATTATTATTATTATTGTTATTATTATTTATGTTACTTAAATTATTGTTGTTGTTATTATTAATATTATTATTATTACTAGTATTGATATTGTTGTTATTGTTACTATGATTATTATTATTATGATTATTGTTATTGTTATTATTATTAATATGACCATGATGACCGTTGACGACAGACGTTAACCTGTTGTTATTAGTATACGCATCTGTGGGACTGGGCGATTTGTGTCCATTGGCACCATTGGTGACTGTACCATTAGACTTATCTGTTTTCTCCAGAGGCCTTTTCTTGGGTTTGTGTTCAACTTGCTCCAAAGGAGTGTCTATTCTTGGTGATAGCGGGGCAGGTTGTGCCCGAGGTAGTGACGGAGGTGGACCATGAGGTACGTCAGCCTCTGGCCGCTTTTTGTCCTGCACTGCTGGTGCTGGAGTCGTTGGTACTGCCGGTAGAGGTTCTTCTGGTGTCGACTTTACACTCGAAGACGAGGGTCTTCTACCATTTAATTTGTGATTCTATAAAATTCATTAATAATTACTAAATTGTAGGAGCTAAATTTTTTATATCAATCATGGGTGATTCTTTAGTTTGATGATTTTGGAAGTTTTTGCTGGACTGATAAATAAATTATAGTTTTGCCGTTTTAGCAGCTGAAAGTTTCAATTTTTAGATTATTACAAAATTGTCATTTTTAATTCATTATTAATATTGCAATAATGTGAATGTAATTGTAAAAATAATTGTCTTTTTTAATAATTAAAGATGTTATGATAGCTTCAAAAAAATGTTCAAATTTTTATATATTTTTTTTAATTTGATACTGTTTTATATTTATTAAATAAATTAAACAGTTAAAAAAATTTTTTAAGGCGGTTTAATAGCAAATTAAACTAAAAAGTATTAAATGATTTACATAAGATTCTATTAAACTGAATTATTTACTTTTTCAAACTGTAATTTGTTTTCAAGTTTTTTAGTGTAACAAAATCATAAGTCTTAGATTATAATGTTTTACTTAATTAAAAAAAGAACGATATTTACTGTCATTATATGAGGTAAAAGACATAGTTATTGACACTAGCCTAGTTGTTTGACACTTACAATTTTATTCTGATTAAAAAAATAAAATGTTCTCAAAAAAAACAATTATCTTGAAATTTATAATACAAAAATTACATTTACTATCAACCTTGCAGTCACTATGTGACTGCCGTGACTTGTGAACTATAAATAAATAAAATTTTGCTTTATTAAATAATGATTTTTGTTAAATTGCACTGTACTTTTTTAATTATTGACGTTTTTGAAGATATAAGCTCATTCCGATGTTATACTTATCAAGAGCTTTCATTTGAGTACCCACATGCATTTTGATATATTTTTCATATATACATATATATAATGTATATAAATATATGAAAAAATGATGTGGGTACTTAAATGAAAGCTCTTGATGAGTGTAATATCGGGATGAGCTTATATCATTAAAAATGTCAATAGTTCACGAGATACAGAGTCATTTCTTAATTATGTATCTAGAGATAAGAGGATTTTCGAATGCAGTCTAAATACTTATCACCATAAATTGACTATTGGTGAGAATGGTATGAAACCATGAAAAAGCATAACTCCAGGTCAAGACTTTTCCAATGATACCAAATTTAACCATAAAATAAAATTGCAAGTGTCAATAATTGGGTCTTTTACCTTAGATGTTGTATATATTTAACCTGTAAAATTTATCAAAATTTTATTCTAATGATTCTGGTAAGAACAGTAAGATAAAGTTACTAAATAATAGTATTATCGTCATCGGTCTTTAAATACGTGTGCAAATTTTAAAATTAATCAGACGTTTTAAAGTCGGTAAAAATGACGATGAAAGATTCTGTTACATAAATAGATAAATAGATAGATAAAATTCAAGCTAATAAAAGCATACTCCAAATTATCTCGATTCATAAGAAGAAATTTTGAACCAATATAATAATTTAAAAGACTTTAACTATCAAAATAAAAAAAAAACATTCCAAAACCATTTCAATAAAGATCCCCTCAAAAACTACCAAAAGATAAAAAAGCTCACGTGATAAGGTGCTGAATTAGATTTGATAGGAAGTAGCCTTGGTATTTTATTAGCCGGTGGTGGTGGACTGCCGCCTCCGCTGCTTGGACTGGTGGTGATGGTGACGCCGATTTTACCTGATTCCTTACTCAATACCTCGGCTTTCCTCTTTGTACCAGCGGGCTCTCTTCTGGGTAACAATGGAATGTCAACGCTGCTGTTAGAGCTGTCAGAGTCGACGCCAAAGGAAGTAGCTGCTCCGGCCGCTGGCAGCAACTTTGGTGGTGATGGAGAATCATGACCATCAAGTGAACTAGGTAATGTGTCATCATCAGCAGTAGCAGCAGCAGCAGCGGTTGTTACTGAATTTAAACGACTTGGTGCCGCTGATACTGCCGAAGTACTACCAGTTTCATCTTGACTATCCTCGCCGGCTCTTTCGTCACCACCAGGCTCCTCTTCGACCACCAAACTAGCCAAAACCTGCTCCTGTTGATGTAAAGTAGTCACGTTGGTACTTGTTTCTTTTTCATCTATCTCATCATCCAACAAAGAGCAGTATCTTACGTTGTATCTTGTGTCACGCCGTCTGGGTCTTCTTGTAACAACGTCGCCTCCTCGTTGACTCTCTTCGTAAAGCTCTATCAGCCTTACATCCAATATATTCTCTTCTGGCTCCCATGTATTGTATTTCTTGCTCCAACCCTTCCATTTGACAAAGTACTCGATTTTCCCCTGCAATCATAACAATTCATTTTTCACTAAATAGTATCTAATTATTTATTCTCATTTATTTTTATACACAGAAAAAAAAATTTACTTGAATCGAGTAAATAATTTTGAAGAATTTCATCTTCTTGATTTGAGTAGAAAAATTCTTAAACTAAGAAATTTTTTATTTAATTCAAGAACTTTTTGTCTTGATTCAAGACAATGACACTCTTCAAAATTGTTTTCTGGGTTCAAGAATTTTTCTTTTGATTCAATTTAATTTTTTTCTTCAGTGTACATACATTCATACGCTGATTATAAATTAACTTAATTCAAGACAAGATAACGTGAACCAAGAATATTACTTTCAAGAGTTTTATCATCTTGAATCGAGTAGAAAAATTCTTGAAGAGGTTGTTTTTAATTCAAGTAAATTTTGCTTAATTCAAGATTTTTTTTTTTCTTGAATCAAGTTAATTTTTTTATCAGTGTAGACACACAAAACAACTTGACGCAAAAACATAATTATCAAGCTTGAATCAATGAGAAAAATTCTTGGTCTTATTGTTTCTTCTTGATTCAAGTAAATTTTCTATCAAACTCGTAAAAATAATCTTGATTAAAGATTTCTTCTCTTGACTCACGAATTTTTCTTTTGAAAAATTAAATTCTCTCAAAATAAAAGATTTTTTTCAACTCAAAGAGTCCATACATCCATACATTTATAACAATCAAGTTATTAAAAAAAAAAAAAAAAAAAAAAAAAAAGAAGAAACAACATCGCGTCACGCAATAAATTGTGTGATGTAACTGGCCCAGACATTTTTTCTGCCATTCGTGGATCAAGTTATGGAACGAAGCTAAATAAAATATAAAAGTGAATAAAAAGATAAAAAAAAAAAACGAGCGTCCCCGTTAGCATTTAACGAGTCAAGTAGTAGATTCTCGAGAGCAATATCTGAAAAGGAGGGGAATATATTCGTACTCGAGGAGGTATTCTCGTAGCTCCTCCTGATAACCCGCTGGTGGGAGTTATAAAACGATAAGCCTACAAATAAAAAACACATACAAGCAGCACACATTCTATCCGCTACTGCCATCTAATGTTAACAGTAATAATTATTCTTACCCGCTTTTCTCTCTTCTTGGTGATCCGTTCAGCAGCGTAAACTCTGTCTCCTAAATCCATTTTTATGACTTCTTTAATTATATTAATTGATAAATATAAATATATATTAATTTACAACTGTTAGTACCGAGTAAACTCGATTGTTTATATAAAAATTTTACCGCCGAAAAAGTAATTTAACTCACAAACGTCACATTGATGTAGCACTGCATATCCAATTATTAAATCCACACATTGATGTATTTAACCACTGGTTATTTAAACACCATATGCATATGTAGGTACACAACTGAAAATACACAAGCACACGCGTAATCCAAGTAAGTGTACGTTTCACTGATTGTCAACGTAAAAACAAACACACAGTAAACAGTGGTGTTATTGATAGTGATTAAAAATTTCACTGTCTAAAATAGTAATTTTTAAAAATTATTAACAGCAATAATGATGATGAATTAATTGAATTAAATAAAACTTTAACACGTGCGGCTCTTATCTTGCGATAATACTAAAACATTATTTGAATGTTTTTTGCACTGGCCTCAGGTCGTGCCGCACCACCGGGGCCAATGATTAGAGAGAGCGGCTATTTCACCAGCGCGACGACTGCGTCGTCGTCGTCGTAACGGTTTATGTTTTCAGGACGGTCTGTACTTATTGTAGTTGTTGTTGCAGTACCAGAAATAGTATTTATTCCAATAGTAGTAGTAGTAGTAGTAGTAGTAGTATTTTCAATTGCAATAACAATGCGGCCAGTTAAACCGGCAAGTACAACCAGAGTCGTACACGCACGTCCCATCGGGACGTTTATTTAACGCAGCAATGCTGCGCGTTATTCAATATCCAATCCGCGTGTCTCACGCTTTAGTTTTTGCACTACACTTTAATTTATAACTGGTAAGTAGTGCAAGTCTTGTAGTGTTCTCCAGCTTTTTGAACTTTCACATGGATCTTTGTACCTGAAAAATTTTACTGTTATTAATATGTCTATTACTATTATTAATATTAATATTAATACTAACATTTATAATACTGAAAGCACTCAATATTTAATTATAAAATTTTTTATAAAAAACTCACTCCTAAAATTAAAATTAAAATTAATTTTTTTTGTAATAATTTATTTGTTAAAAAAAATCGAAATTTTAAAAAATTTTCACTTAATTTTTTTATAAACAAAATGACACCGAACTCAACAGACACTTGACGATTCTTGAATTTAATTCAACAAATAAATTATTTAAAAAAAGAAGTATTAGAATTTTTTTATTAAAAATGTATTTGTTAAAAAAATAATAAATTATTCCTAAATATAATTAACATAACAAATAAAAATAAACCCACTCAATATCCTCTTTGCTGTTTTCAGTATCAATAAAAAATAATTTAAAATTATTATTACTATAATATAAATATTTGGTATAGTATGTACAGTATAAACTGCCGAACAAATAACACCCGATGGTAAAGAGTATTGATGTGTATGTTTTTAGCCGTAAAAGTGCCGCCCTCTGCCGTGAAATCAGTCTAGTACAGTGACGTCAGAGTAACAGCTTCCCCTTGTCTCGTAAACACCAAACATGGCCGCGGATAAATACACTGGTAAGTACCTCAAAAGAGTTAAATTAATAAAAAATTAACTAAAAACAACCGAATAATCAACAACACTTTTAGGTTATCGTTCGAAGGCTTTACAACCCACGTTAAATCATCAGAATGTCTCTCAGTAAGTAACCACCGAGCGATAATACTTTTGCGTCTAGTTAATACTCCGGTTCACGGCGGACTGGTCTCGAATTCTACCAAACTCCCCTCGGAAACTCGTCGTAGACTCGCCCGACCCGGTTGCGTGGGGATATTATGTTCAAGGGACTGGGATATGCTTGGGGGGCTAGACAAAGACCGACGCTGAGCTCCAGAGAGGGGCAAGTCTTGGTACAAAGCCGTGCGAAGCGGGGTGAAACGAGGGGGCGAGGATGTCAGTAATGGTAATGGTAATGGTAATGGTCTATACTATAGTATAGTGTAGTACAGTACAGTGTGCTGTATTTCTATACTATACTACATTTCTATATATATGTATTTTATTTGTAGTAGTGGTGAAGGAAGATGACACCCGATAGCTGGCGTGTGTTAAAGCGAGACAAAACTCGGGTCTACCGGCTGGCCAAGTCCCCTTGTGTGTGAGAGCAAGCTGATGTTGCGAGGTTGCCAAGTTCCAGTCAATAGTCCCACCAAATGTCACCAGTCTACTCGTAAGTCGCTGCGATATTCATATTCATATCCATCTATGTATAATCTATTGTAATATACATATAATATAACACATACATACGTTAGTTGACACACGGTCAACTTTTAATACACACGTATGTATGGCAATTAATTTATTTTTTTTCCTAACATTTCTTCTAATCTAAATAATGAAATTTTAGAGTCGTATGGTATGCTCACGTTTAAATCCAAAATGAAATCCGTGATCACAAGGTATCCTGATACTTGTGTATAGTTTTAGTTTCCCAACAACGGATCGATCGATCGTCAACATCCATGTGTGTAACACGCACGGAATATTATGTGATGCGCGTGTACGCACACATACAAATCCAACGCCGTATTACGGGTAGAATCGCTACGCTTAAGCTGGCAACACTGCGTATCCTCAACCGTGAGTCTGCAATCTTCTGTCACACTCACTCACACTTTCAGAGATACTTACACTCGAGCATTAGTGTGTAACCAAGCACAGACACAGAAGAACTCTATTGAGTACACTGCTCACGTACAGATATAATATATAGATATACAAAGATATAGATGTAGATATTATATATACTGTACAGATACAGAGAAACTGTGGTAACCTCCACGATAAACACTACACTGCACTGCGACGAGGCCGTGATACAACACACGGTAACAGTAAATAACTTTACTGATTGTGATTATAATTATAATTATAACTATAACAGTAATAGTAACAGTGAGGTGAGACGGTACCGCGTTAAGGTAGACCGCTCAATCAGGTCGTATGTGACATGACACTTGTACGCATATCACATTAACTCCTCAGTTTCTCTCACTCTCACTCACTCGGTTAAATATGTACTTGTGTATGTACTCACAGAGCAAGAGCAAATCCCAAGAGTCTGCGCGAGCGGATAACTGCGCGCGCGACCGTAACGATAAATCCCTTAGCACTTTGCGTACAACTTGTTAAAATACGGAGCGAACAGCACAAGTACGTGTAACCTCGACGGGACCCGAAACGAGAGTGTCCTCAGTTTCGAGCAACGTCCCGCTCTTCGTCATAAATCTACTTTTGTAAAAACCGGCTAGAAGCGATTTTATTGGCTGTCGGGGTGCTGCGTCCCGCCAATTTATCCCCTCTTGGAGGAAGCCAGCCAATGACAGAAGAGCGACAACCCACGTCGACGGCTGAGAGTAGGCGTTCACGTATGCTACTCTAAGTTTTCTTCCCCATTCTCCCTTCAACGACCTCGACGTCCTCGACATATACCCTTAGAATTCATTCCCGCTCTCTTCTCTCTTCACTCCACTTCACTTATATATTTGTGCCAGTATAGGTATAGGTATATTTGGCTCGATGTGCAGCATATTATATACAGTGAAGTAATGTGTAGTTATATACTGCTCACACTCACACTCACACAGATATATGTGAGTACATAACGAGCACGAACCCGAATAACAACGGAGTTGTGTGCTACAGGTCTGGTCTCGTGTTCTGGCGCAACGTTTTAACGTATGTCGTAGCGACTCGAGGGTTCTGTCGGCCTCGGGCGCTCTCTGCGGGAGGGGAACTTGTATAACACACACACATATATATATATATATATATATATATATATATACAAAGATAGTTGAGTTAATAAGAGTAAAAGAGAAGGATACGATCGAGAGAGTGAGAGAAGGGAGCCTTTCCCCTCTTCCGACTGTCGGTATTGAAATATCCTGGCCCCGCAGCTTCGTGCGACGATGCCGCTTCTCTACAACTGAACACTACGCAGTTCATTTCGTCTCCGTTGCGCTTGCTTTCCCCCAATACCCCGAGAACGATACGACCACGGCTCTCATATCAGGTCTACTCTCTCGTCGTTTTTTTTCTCATTCTTTTTATTTTTTCACCTCTCCCAAGAGTGTTGGGGTTTGCGTCTCTTCTCTACTCTCCATGAAAGGCTTCTACCTACTGCTATATAAGTACTGTATATACTGTACGTATAAAGATATATAGACATAGATGTATGTGTAAATGTGAAACATGAGGATATTTGTTCGAGTCCTTCGGATTCTGGGTGTGCAGCCCCTCTACTCTTCCTAAATGAAGTATCCCACCAGCGACGTTTACAATCGTTCTAGTATCTCATCCCGCCTGTTTTTCTTCTGATCTCTTGTACCTCCTACTCTTTTCTTCGATACCTTTCGGCAAATTATCGCTGAAGTATTCTTCTCTGCCTTCTCGATGGACAATCAATCGTATCTTCTTAAAATTAAACCCAAAGTCCTCTTGCTCTTTTAGATTTATGGCTTTTGTGCTCGGATTCTTGAGCTTTGGTCATTTTTTAATTGAAAAATATCCCACGTTTTTATTAATCTATACATTAGAATGATATTTGTAAGCAACTTTGGTTTGATGATGTCAATTTTTCAGTATGCCTCTCATTCTTTGAGTCGGTTGTTTTAAAAAAAAAGATTGCGTGACCTCAAGGACCACATCACGAATCACGTACCGTGAAATAATCACGAGTCAATAATCGGCCTTCAAATACATGTATATTGTCTGCACATTTTTGCTGCTTCTTGAAGTTATTTCTTTGAACTGAAACTATACTGATAAAAAAATTAACTCGGAGATTGAAGATCACAAAATTTGGACCAAAAAAATCTTTTTCAAGGCAATCAAACTCTTTATAATGATTCTCTTAGTTCAAGAATTCGTTTCTTTAATCACCAAGTTTATTTTTTTATCAGTTAAGCTCTTCGTTTTTCAATGCTTGATGTCAGCGTAAAACAACGAGAATTCCTTTTATTTGTTTTAT